AAGATCTTAAAATTGCTTCAAGTAGAAATTCTTTATTAAGACGAATAATTGGGCTTCATTAACTGCTTATGTTAATCATTAAATTTTTATATTTGTTACAGTTTAATATTAAAACTTCAGTTATGAATTTTACTTGGTAAACTTTTATTTCACTAATTGTTTGGAAATTTGCAAAAACTTTTTCTTGGCGGAACTGTTTAGTACTTCAGGCTCTACGTTTGTCTAAATGTCAAAAAATCTAATTTTTCTTGGAAATAATTCAAATATTTGAAAAAATACGAAATGTATTCAAGTTTCCAAAACTACATATCGAGATTTTAACCCAATTAATAATATTCCAGAGTATCTTGCAAATCCATTTAGTAGTTTAGGCTCTAAGTTTGTCTAAATGTCAAAAATTCGCTATTTTTTCAGTTTTCTTTACTTAAATGCTATAAAAGTATCCAAAATATTACATAAACTTATCAGAATTCTTTCTTTTATCATTCTTTATCCAACAGAAAAAATTAAGAAAAATAAAATTTTTTAAAATGTAAACAATTTTGGCCGACATGGTCTAGAAGTGTTCAATAAAAAGTCAAAAAAATACATCTCAAAAAACACTACAAAATTAAAGAAACAATTATTTAAATTTCAGGACATTTTTTTTAAATATTTGTAGAAAACATATTTATTGGAAAATTTTGAAAACGCGAATGACATTTTTGAAAAATGTGTCTCAATATCCAAACAATATACAGATGGAAAGAACAAATTGAAAAAAAGAGCACAAGAGATGAAAAATTGTTAAAAACTTGGAAATTTGTCTTGAACCAATTTAAAATTGCATCTGACAAATTTCTCCCAGTGCAAAATTTTGACATAAAACGAAAGTCATTACAAGCCAGAGAGATTAATTTATATTATTTATTACCTAATTTAATTCGCAAACAATTTACAGCCCCCACGTATTGGGTACATAATTTTAAAAGTAACTTATGGAATTGTATCGTGGAAAATAAATAAGTTCTTGAATGTCAACCAAGGAAAAATTACTACGAAAATCCAAGAAAATTTGTTTTTAAAGTAAAATCAGAAAATGTATTAGTGATAAAAAAATGATTATAATTCAACATTTTTTTGGCATTATTTAGGATCTAAATTTATTCTTTATTATTAAAATTATTGAAAATGCGTTGAAATGGACAAAAATTTAGAATTTCAAAAGAAGCCTTCAAACATATCACTTTAAGGTTTTTGGGGTCGTTGAGTCCGAATTTGCAAACAGAAGTTAAAAATTCAAAATGTCGGCTCCAATAAGGCGGACGACTTTTTTAAAAAGTGAGCAAAATTACTTGAAACTTGTTACTCGGGAGTTTTTTGGGGTCAATAAATCCCAATCTGCAAACAGAAGTTCAAAATTAATATGTCGGACAACTTTTAGAATCGCTGAGTCCGAAACTGCACTGAAAAATTTTTTTTCTAAAAATTCAACTACTTTGGGTAATAATGTTAGTCAAAAAATTTTTTACTGGTCCCAAACTATTGCTAGAACAATTCCAATAATTATCTGAGTCATCAAAATTAATTTAATTCACAATTCATAAAAAGTAACCACAGCCGATAATCAGCAGAAGATGACAAATCATTTTTTGAGTGAACTTTATCTTTTCGGTTTACTTACACTTATTAGTCAAAAAAAATTTTGCTGTTCCTAAACAATGCCTAGAACAAAATTTTCTCAAAAATCTTTAAAAACAGGCAAAATTACAGAAAATTTTTTAAATTCCATACTATTTCCAGGATTTGCATACCTTTTTCGAAATTCCATACGTTTTTCAGGTTTACCAGGATTACAGGGCTCTGTGGCAACCATGTCAGTGCATGAAAACTGAGCCTATTGTTTTTGTCACATAAGGTCCCTTTCACCGTGAAGCGTCACATATTTTTCAAAATTTGGTAATACCTATTTCTTGCTATCACTTCTCTGAATATTGGAGTTGGCATCAAAGGATCAGTACACTCCAATAATCTTTCAAATTTCCTTTTCCAACGTTTCCAAGCTTTTCATTTTTTAATTGCTCTTTTTATTAGTTTGTTTCTGTACTTAATTTAAAAATACCATAAAAAGCAAAATGGGGGTTATATAACTTTCTACGTCCACGTCGCTAGCCCTGTGGGTAATGTCAAAGGAAAGTATCAAAAATCAAATGATTTAGAACAATTTTTGGAAAAATCATCGTCCGCCATTTTGAATTTTGTACTTCTGTTTGCACTTTCGAACTCAGCGACTGAATAATATCTCCAGAATATTATGTTAAAATTTCAAGTCAATCGAAGAAAAATGGGCATACTAATAAACACTGACGCAAACTAACTATTGGAATTAGGACATTAGGTCGAAAACGTGAAGAAACAAAAGTAAATAACCCTTTAAAAACAACCCCTAAATAACAAAAGTACCCCTAAATGTTTACTTTATTTATTTACATAACACAAATTATGACATCCTAGACACTTCAAAATTGTACTAGAATATTTATTTAACATTTCAAAATTTGCAATAATGGTTTGCACTCCCTTAAAAACAACCCTTAACTCATTCAACCACCTTTAAACACTTCTATTTGTTACACTGAAAAAAAAATTTAACTGATTCAAATATCCATTTAATTTACTATTATCAATTAAATATTTACTTGAATCAAATAATATTTATTAGAGTCAATTAAATGGTATATTTGAACCAATAATTTCAGTATTTGAATCAAATACCATTTAATTGACTCCAATAAATATTATTTGATTCAATTAAATATTTAATGGATAATAGGGTAAGTGCGGGTATAGTCGGACAGTACTAGTAGTCGGACACTTTCGTGTTTTTTGACAAATAAATAATAATGCATTGTGATAATTGCTTTAAAAAGTATACTAGACGAATGTGTGAAGTTTATATTTTATTAAAATAGTGTTATTTTCGAAAATAATTAAACAAGAAATATTTTATTTAATGTTTTAAAAATCATGGTGTCCGACTATAGATACAACCATTTTCGAGTAACGCGATGAGTGGCACAAAGTTTTGTTGATAATTAATCATAAATATTAAAACTTATAGGGTTTAAATATTATATTGATAACTTCTAATATGCTTTAATTCCATTTTCCAGCAGATAGCAATTAAAAAATTATCTGTTTTACTTTATAAATTCAAAATATCTGACAGATGTCCGACTATAGAAACAAGGGGAAAAAGTGTCCGACTACTAAAGCATTCGTAATTTTTTATTAAAATGTTTATATTTTATTAAATACTCAAGTATTTGTAACAAATTTACATGATTTTTAATCCTAAAGAACTCCTTTAATTGATAATGTGCTTATAAACACAGTAGATATTTGCTATTTCAAGAAAAAAAGCATAATTTAAGATTGTATCCTTAAGTGTCCGACTACTAGTGCATTTACCCTAGTCAATTAATCGGTTAATTGAATCAATTAAATTTTTTTTCAGTGTATAAAAAATTAACACCAGATTCGTAATAAGCCACACCAAAAACCCCCCAGTCATAAATTTGCAGCAATTTTGTTGAATTCTATAAAAATAGTCCGCCATATTGGATCCGTCATTTTGAAATTTAAGAAATTATCACCAGATTCGTAATCAACAACCCCAAAAACCCTAAGCAACAAGTTTCAAGCAAATTCGTTAAATTTTTTAAGAAATCGTCCAACATATTGAATCCGCCATTTTGAAAATTTAACCTGAAAGTTGTCACTCAGGGGTTTTCGAGAATGTTGATTACGAATTCGGTTTTAATTTTTCAAAATTCAAAATGACGGATCTAATACTGGTGAAAATTCTCTTAAAACTTGACGAATTTGCTTGAAACTTGTAATTCGGGAGTTTTAAAGAATGCTGGCTACGAATTCGACTCGTAATCAGCATTTTTTTAAGAAACAACGTATTTGATTGGAATTTGTTACTTGAGGCTGAATCTTTAAAAATTTTTTAAATCCTTTTGAACAAAACTTAACGGTTGTTTAAATAGGTGAAAGGTTGTTTATAAAGGGGTTGATCAATGTCATTATTAATATTATGTGTAAGAATGTTTTTTCTGTATGTTAAAATGAAATACAAATTTTTCTCCAGTAAGTACTGCTATTTGTACTCCTAGGGTTTGCTTTTTCAAATAAGGGTAATTTTAGGGAGTAAAAAGTGTTCATAATTTTTGTTTTGTTTATTCTAAACTCTTAATTGATTAAAACCAATAACAGTTCCGTTTATAGAACTGCGCAAAAAAGAATTTTTTTTATTGTCTTTAAAATTATAAGTAAACAAAAAAAATTTTTTAAACAAATTCAAAAAAATATTTTAAATGTGTTTCTTCACGTTTTTGATCTAATGTCCTAATTCCAATAGTTGGTTTGCGTCAGTGTTTATTAGTATGCCTATGGGCATTAATGGGTTAACTTTGTCTGTATAGCCAAAAAAATTCTTAAAAATATGCATTATTTTCACCGAATTAACCTTTACTCCTCTCTTCAGTTTTTTCCCCAATTTGAATTCACAAAAAATTAATTCATTACTTTAATTTCTATTATAGTTCACCTAAGGCGGAGACACAGCATACAGGCAGTCATCAGAGGTGAGAGTGCGTCATATACTCACATGTTTTCTGCATCAGCCATCAATGAGACGGCACCTCTATCCTTTCTTTATAATGGAGGATATTTTCTCCGAAAAAATTTTTTCCGTGTACGTTTAATTTTTCATGTTTATAATCGTTGAAATAATAATGAGGCATCTTCAACATTTGAGATAAGATTCTTTTCGAATAAGTTTAATCTTGAATTATGAAAATAATAAAGAAAAAAACCAACTGAAATTCGCAATTTCATAGTTGTGAATTATTTGCATTTTAACCATAGACCCAAATAGTGCGACTGCCTTATGTAAGGGAATATCCCATGATTTATATCACCCAAATGATAAAGTAATTAATAATTGAAACCAATTTAATAAAATTTAGGACTTTAATTTGAATATAAGACATTATTATCATTACAGTGACGTTGACTTTGAATTCTATGAATTTGAACTTTAATTACTCTTGAAAATAAGAAAAAGTAAATTTAATTATATGATTTAGTCATTTGAATATAATTCAGTTAATTTAACTACGTTTTGAATTTTTTCTCTTTTTTTATAAAATGTATGTAAAAGATAATTTAAAACTAGATAAAAACGTAAAAACATAAGTAGAAACAGAAACATTTAGATTACTATTGTAATTTACATTCCCATTCCCCCCATACCTCCCATACCGCCCATGCCTCCCATTCCTCCCATGCCGCCCATTGAATGTTCTGGTTCAGCTTTTGGCATTTCTGCAACTACTGCCTCCGCTGTGGTCAGCAGAGACGCAACACCGGCTGCATCGATGAGTGCTGTTCTTACAACTTTAGTTGGGTCGATAATTCCTTTTTCGATCATATCCACGTATTCATTGTTCAAAGCATCGTAACCAAGTTTACCTTCGGAAACTTTAGCTACAACAACGCTGGCGTCAACGCCTGCATTCTGCGCTATTTGTAGGCATGGCATTCTCAATGCTTTAGCTATAATTTCTATTCCATTTTGTTGATCTTTGTTTTCTCCTACTAATTTTTCTAAGGCAGGGATGCACCTAAGAAGAGCGGTACCACCTGTGATAAAAAGAAATTCATTATTTACCTTAAATAGGGGCACGTCTGTTTATTCAGTTTTTCATTGATGATTTAAATAGGTGATTTTCCTAAAAGTGATACTTTAGAACTTCATTTTTTATTTTTGTTTTCAAAATTATATAGTTTTTTCTATTGAAACTACTTTGTATCATACTCAAGATCAAGAATTTAAGTTGTGCAAAATTAATTGTTAAAAATATTCAAGTTTGACTGCTCTTCAACTGAGCAAAATTATTTTTATTTGATTCGAGAGTATTTCTATAAAAAATATACGCTAATATAATTCACGTAATTTAAAGTAAAATGACACTGTTTAAAAAATAATAATTTTCATATTTTAATAGCAAATATAGGTATTCAGATCAATTAAAATATAAATCTAGTTAGAATTTTCAATAATCTCGAATTCAAATCTTTTGAAATTTAATAACTTATAAGAATATTATTGTAAACACGAAGAAATCCATCGGCTTCTTCATGTTTTTATAATAATTACAGATAACCTAGTAATAAAATTATTATTTAATATAAAATATTGTTATCTTAACTTCTTCAAAATTATTTTCATCACTTAAATTCAATTATTGTTTTCTAAAATTTTTAACTAAAATTCTTCTATAAATGTATTATTTTTAATAATTTTTTAAAAAGTTCTTTGATAATTTTCATATTTATTTGTTTACAATTCAATTTTACAAAATTTCAATTTTTCGTAAATACTTCAATTAAATATATACATATATTAAAAAATAAAAACTTTAAATAATTTCAAAAAAAAATCCGTAATAAAACTTTATTAAAAAAATTAATTTCACAGAATTGTTAGTTAAAAATATGAAAAATTCAGATTTTTAAAGATTTTAATTTGAAACCTTTTCAAAATTCAATTTTTTCTAAAAATTCACGCTATAATGCTTTTAATATTCAATTATTATCTAAAATTTTAACCGAAATTCATTTTAAAATCAATTTTTATTAGAAAATTTTACGAGAATTCATTTAATTAAATACAAAAATAAATAAATTATTCAATAATTTAATTTTTACGAAGAATTTTATTAACAACTTTTGGAAAATAATTAATTTTTTTAAAATGGATTTTAATTAAAATTTTAATGAAATTTATTATATTAAAGAATTTTATAACAATTTTTAAAAATAATTGAAAACTTTTTGAAGAATTTAATTAAAATTTTAAAAAATAATTGAATTCCTGAGAAGAATTTAAATAATACTTTATGAAAATAATTATTGAATTCATGCTATGAATTTTATTAAATGTTTAAATGATTGACATTTTGCTAAGAATTTTATTAAAAATTTGACAAAAATTTAACTCTTGAGAAGAATTTCGCTATCTATTTATAAAGATAATTTAATTCTTGACGAGAATTTTAAAGAAATTTTAAAAATAATTTAACTTCTGCAAAGTATTTTATTACTTTTAAAAAAAATTAAATTCTTGTCACGAATTTTGATATTTATCAAAATAATTGAATTTTGGAAAATAATTTTATTAAAATTCCTTAAATAATTTATTTTATGAGAAGAATTTTGTTGTTTATCAAGATAATTGAATTCTTTTGCAGAGTTACTTAAAGTTTTTTGAAAATAATTGATTTTCTGCGACAAATTAAAAGCTTTTTATGAAAATAATTGAATTATTGCAAAATTCTTTCGTAAAATTTTAATAGAGTTTTCAAAAATAATTGCATTTTTCGAGGAATTTATATAAAATTGTATTAAAAATATTTGAAATTCTGCGATGAAAATAATTAAATTGCTAAATGAAATTTTATTATGTATTTATGAAAATAATTGAATGTTTTCCTATAATTAAATCAAAAATTTTGCAAAGAATTTTATTTAAATTTTTGAAAAGATAATTGAATTTTCGTAGAAAAATTTTACTATTTATAAAGACAATTGAATTCTTGACGAGATATTCGTTTAAATTTTTAAAAATAATTGAATTTCTTTGAAGAATTTGGTTATTTATCAAGATAATTGCGTAAAAACTTTTGAAATAATTGAATAATTTAAAAATATTCATTCTTGGCAGAAATAGAAAAATATTTTGAAAGTTTTGTATTATAGAATTTGTGGTAGTTTCATATAATTTATGAGGCAAACAAAAAAGACACTACAAATTCCAAATTTTCTTATGAAACACTGAATTCGAAAATGACCTTGAAATTGTTGCTTCACGTCAGGATTATTGAATTGGTAATATCTTAGCCTATTTGACTCTAAATTTATTGAACTTAAAAATGATCCTAGTTTGATAGCTCTTTCATCTATTTTTACATAAATATTTGAATATTTTACTGAAACTTTGAATATTTACCTCCGGGAACAATGCCCTCTTCTACAGCTGCCCGCGTTGCATTTAGAGCATCGTGAACACGATCTTTCTTTTCGTTAACTTCTACTTCACTACTGCCACCGACTCTCAGAACAGCTACACCGGAGGCTAATCTCGCTAAGCGTTCTTGTAATTTTTCCTTCTCATAATCGGATGTAGTTTCTGTAATTTGGTCTCGAATTTGGTCCGCTCTCTTGTCAATGTCCGTTTTTTCACCTTTTCCCTTCAGGAACAGTGTGTCGTCTTTTGTAATAATAACTTCTCCTACTTGACCCAAATCGCTCAACTGAAAATCATTATCAATTACCATTAATACTCTATAGTAATAAAATATTTAAAGCAACTGATTGTCAATTCTTAGCAATAAAAAAATATTCACTAAAACTAAATAAGAGTTTAAAATTGTATAATTTTTCTTACCTGTACATCTTCCAATTTAATTAAATTAGCTTCATCTCCAAAGACAATTCCACCAGCGGAAATGGCCATATCTTGAAGAGTAGCCTTCCTATTATCTCCGAATCCAGGCGCTTTAACGGCAGCAACTTGCAGGCCAATTTTCAATCGATTAACAACTAAAGTGGAAAGAGCTTCTCCATCAACATCTTCAGCAATAATGACGAGTGGCTTTCTCTGGGAGTTGGCTAGCTCTAGTGCTGGAATTATACTCTGTACGGATGAAATTTTCTTCTCACTAAAGAGAACGAGTGCATCTTGAAACTCGACTTTTGCACCTTTAGTTGAGTTCATGAAATATGGCGAGATATATCCGCGATCGAATTTCATTCCTTCGATCACCTCCAACTCGTCATTCAGTGTTTTTCCATCTTTCACTGTTATAACTCCCTCTTTGCCAACCCTCTTCATAGCATCGGAAATCAAATTTCCAATAGCTGTGTCGCCATTCGCAGAAATGGTTGCCACTTGAGCAATTTCATCAGGAGTTGTCACTGGTTTACTTAATTCCTTCAATTCGTCTTTTACTTTTTCCACCGCAAGCATTACGCCTAAAAACCAAATATGTGAATTAGTAGAGGAAATAAAGAATAAATTTTTACACGGAGTTGAAAGAGGACATCACAATGCAAAAACGAAAACACTCACCACGACGAATTTCAACTGGGTTCGCTCCTTTACTGATTTTGTCAAAGCCCTCCTTGGCGATTGCTCTGGCTAATACTGTGGCTGTTGTTGTGCCGTCTCCGGCTTCTTCATTTGTATTATTAGCTACATCTTGAACTAGTTTTGCTCCAATATTTTGAAACTTGTCTTTTAATTCAACTCCCTTGGCAACAGTAACGCCGTCTTTGGTAATTTTGGGGCTGCCCCAACTTTGTTCAAGAATGACATTTCGTCCTTTTGGACCCATTGTCACTGCAACTGCGTCTGCTAAGATATCGACGCCTTGCAACATAAGAGCTCTAACTTCTGCACCAAAGCGAACATCTTTCGCGTATGTTCGTGTTGCAAGTCTGTTGAAGTTATTGCTTCGAATTAATTTTGAGAATCTGTACATCTGAAAATAAAAAACAATATTTTTAAGTTCTTGAGAACTTTAAATGGAAATTGTTTTAAAAGAATCATTTATATAAATAAATCTTAATGCTCTACAATGAATATTTACTCTCTAAATTTGAATCAGCGAAAAGTCGCTGATTGGGTAGCTATAAGTATGCAGCTGATTCAATCAGCGTATATACACTAATGAATCAGCGAATAGTCACTGATTTTTTTAGCTTATATACGCTGATTGAATCAGCTGCATTCTTATAGCTATACCCAATCAGCGATTTTCCGCTTATTCATATTTAGAGAGTAACTTTCTTCAGAAATATAGATGTATTTTAAAGGAATTTTTAGAAAAATTTTCTCTTTATTATCAAATTAAAATTAAAAATCAAATTAATAAAAATAAATTTGTTTATAAAAAAAATTTTTTTATATTACTTAAAAGTTGAAGACAAACCAAAATTTTCTTTCTTTGACAACTTTTTCGAAACTCAATACTTTCAAGCTTATAAGTTAGGGGTCGTCCATAAACTACGTTACCAATTTTTCAGACTTTTTAGACTCCCTCCCCCCCTCTTTACCATTGCGTTAAATGCAATTTTGCATATTCTTTGACCCCCCCTCCCCCTAAATTGGTAACGTATAGTTTATGGATGGCCCCTCATAAGCTACTGAAAATAGGTCTACTTTTAAAAATTCAAAATTTCGAAAATTTAGACAATTATACAAAAATAAAAAAATACGTATTTCATATTTTTTTATAAAGAACGAAAAAAAAATATGGTTAACTGATTTCAAAAATGTCATAGAAATCCGTCCATGTTACGGAAAGAAATAGAAAATCAAGATGGCTGCCACAACAAGGCTACTTCCATGCAATTTCAGATCCCAATAACTTAGATAACAGATTTTTTTAGACTTTCTTCTTTTTTATGACATTTTTTATTATGGGGGCAAAATTTCTGAAGTGGACCAACAAAAAAAAAAGTTCTGAGATTGATTTGGTACTTCGGCAATTTGTTCTCCTATATAAGAGTAACAAATTCCTAAAATATTAAAAGTTTTGAAAAAAATTGTGAAAAGTAGGGGGGGGGTAAAAGTTTTTACATTTTCGAGAACATTGACATTTAAAATCCCTATAAGTCGGATAAAACTTTATGGATTTTAATTTATGAATAACGGATTTTAAAGCATTTTTCTTGTACTTTCTGATGCTTGCAATAAAGTTTTCAAAAAAAAATTTTAACTCCTTTTTTTCAAAATTAATTTTTATTTTTAACCGATTTGGGTATTTTTAATTTTTTTAAAAATAATTTCATTGGAAAGCTGAGGTTTTTTCCAATGAGACATGTAATTTTTAGAGTGGGACAGAAAATAGTTTAAGAGAAATGTAATAAAACTGTAGACGTTGCGCGCGCGCGGCCTGCGCTGTTGGTGCACCCGTCAGAGCTGCGGGTTCTGATTGCACCTAATTCAGCAATACTGTTACTAAAAAAATTTAGAATAACCTGTTTTGAAAATTTTACATTAAAATTGAGTAAAATTAAAAATTATTATACTGTTAAAAAAATGTTAAGCTGAATTTCTACTTATTAAGTTTACATATTTGATTGATTATAAATTTTGAGTGTAAAGCTTTCCAGCTTTCCAATGAAATTATTAAAAAAAAAATAAATAAAAATACCCAAATCGGTCAAAAATCAAAAATAAAAATTAATTTTGAAAAAAAGGAGTTAAAATTTTTTTTTGAAAATTTTATTGCAAGCATGAGAAAGTACACGAAAAATGCTTAAAAATCCGTTATTCATAAATTAAAATCCATAAAGTTTTATTCGACTTATAGGGATTTTAAATGTCAACGTTCTCGAAAATGTAAAAACTTTTACCCCTCTACTGTTTACAATTTTTTTTCAAAAATTTTAATATTTTAGGAATTTGTTACTCTTATATAGGAGAATAAATTACTGAAGTACCAAATCAATCCCAGAACTTTTTTTTGGGGGTGGTCCACTTCAGAAATTTTGCCCCTATGTTAGAATAGTTTCTTAATTTAATTTAATTAATTTCAGATATTTTGGTAGGCATTTTTACGATTCTTTGGTAGTCAGACTTTAGGTTATTTGAATTAAGATGATAAAACTATCTTCATAACAATACTTTACAAATTTACATAATATTTTTTGGAAAAAAAATTGTGAGGTTAACTTTAGGCACATATCTAAAACCTACAAGTATTTTATACATTTCAGAAACTTAAAATTGTGACGTATCAAAAGATTTACAAGTATCTTATCACTAAAATCTCCATCTATATGATATGTACTTAAAAAAACTTTCTGAAGTAACTTAGGTTTCTAAAATAAAATTAATTCTTCAATTGTTGTTAAAACAAGACATTTTTGAAATAAGATACATTATAAAACATCTTATTTTAAGATAAAAGATATTATTTTTATCTTACATCTTATCTTTGATACCAAATAAGTCATTTATTTTCGCAGTGTAAATAGATTTGTTTCGGAAAAGTAGAAAATTAATTCATATTTGTCAATAAGTCAATTTATGTTTTAAATTTGAATCAAATTTTATAATTAAAATTTATAATTAAATTTTTCAGTTTTTTTATCATTATTATCAAAAATATTCGTCTCACGAAAAAAATTGAAAGAAGAAAAAGATGCGCCTTTTTATTTCCAATAAAGCAGTGTATATAACATTATTTTTATATTTAAATCGTTTCGTTTTTAGTCGAACTTTATCATAATTTAGTGATTTAAATGTTTTGTGATAATTTTTTATAATAAAATACATAAAACTTATGTCATTTAGATTATGTCGAGAAGTCTTTTAATTAAAAATTCTTTGTAAATAATAAAAGTTTACTTCCATCTTGTATGATAATTTTATGAAAGTTTTTAACAGAAATTGAATCTCATATTTTTAAGGGGTTACGCCACCCTGAACGCATGTAAATTGGACGATTTTTAAGAATTTTTTTGACGAAAATATTTAAGATCAGACATTTTTATTTTTTTTTATTACATATTGTAAGCTATGTAAGTACGAAAGTTTTTAAAAAAATTAAAAATGGTGGAGATACACGCATTCCAGTGCAGCAGTGCATTTCTTGATGATGGTTGAGAACGAAAAAGTTTATACCGTGAAGAAAAAATTGAAGAATTAAGTGTTTTTAATATGATTTTATATTTTCAATATATTTTTAATATTTTAACATTTGAAAATTTGTCTATTATTACTGGAAAACAAAAGCCAGAATTTTTTCATAAATTTCAGAAATTTAATCCTTTGTCAATACTTTTGATAAAATTTACAGATTTTTTCCTAATTTGCCTAAACTGTGGCAACACTGAAAAACTCTTTTTCTTTGATTTTTATAAACCTTAAACAAAACTATCCTCATCTTCCCCGGACTTTTGCCCTAAATCATAAATGCTTTTACTTTTCTACGTCAAGGAGTTACAATAAAATATTTTTCTAGAGGGTCTATTTGCCTCTAGTTACGCCTCTGGTGTTGGGCAAAGGTCGATCAAACTTTAGCTTGCAGCGTATAGTCAAACATAGTCAAAGTTTCACCACTAAAAAGAAGACAAAATTTTGACTGGGAACATTTTTAATTCTCAACATTCATTAATATTTTTACTAAGTAATGAACTCTTGCTGTTAAATATGAATATATGATAAATATTGTTTAAATATGAATTCCATTGTTTTTTGACTTTGCTGACAGAACAAAATCAAAAGCACAAGAAAAGCATAAAAAGCAAATTCTTATTTTCAATAAATTAAATTAATTAATAAATATTTTGCTTTGCTTTTCATAATGTAAAAGTGGTAAAGTAAGGAGAGGGAAATGGACCAAATTCTTTTTTCCTTTTAAATATATTTTCAAAAAGAATATACTTAACTGAAATATAATGTATATTCAACATTTACTTATTTCAGAATTTTTTGCTTTTATACAAAAATTTGTTTTTGTTAAATGAAAATTAAATCTAGTAAAAAATTTTGGCGTTTCTTTGAACATTTAAATATTTAAAAAATTAGTTTATGAATTACCTCTTATTAGATATTATGGTACAATATAAATTTTACTAATTCCTTAATAGTATTTTCAATAGCATTTTTTTAAAACATTTCATAAATGAAACAAATTATCAAGAATTGAATATCCACTAAGGACAAATTTAAACAAATGGGGCAAAATTCCTCAACTGTCAAGGTCAAAAAATGAATTTTCTTGAAACTTTGCCAAATTTGTACTATTCACATTTTTAACTTAATTAATTTTACTTATCAATATTATTAAATAGAAAAAAGATATTTTCAAAAAAGTCAAAATTTTGAAACTCCGTAACTCCAAAAATATTTTATAAAATTGAAGAATAATTAATATTTACACTTCTACTAATAATAGTAACATTTTGGCAAAGTTTCGAAAAAATTCATTTTTTGACTTGGACAGTTGAGGAATTTTGCTCCAAATGTTAAAGTTTATTAAATTTTCAAGTCTATAAAATGTTTATAAAAATTATTTCAATTCAGAATTTTCTTAAAGTTTTGCATGTCAGAAATGCTTAAAATCTGAATTCCCAAAAATTTCAAGAAAGTAAATTAAAATTTCATATACTATAAAAATCGAAAAAATTATTTTGTACTGAAAAAAGATGATTTTTTAAATATTTATCGCAAAATTCCTAGAATTCAAAGTCTGTTATAAAATTTATTTGTAAATATTGCAAACATAATAAAATAAATTTTAAAATCCTAAGCATAGATATAAGCATTATCAAAAATAATTGCTTAATTTAAAATTAATTTAATTTTAACATTTTTTCTCTTTAATTTGCATGTTGCAAATGAAGCAAAACATGATACTAAGTAAAAAATAATTCTAATTTTTTAATTGTAATTTGATAGTTAGGTTAAAACTTGGGAAAATCAAAGTCATTAAAAATATTTTTTTTAAGTGTCGCGTAATAGAGAGAACTAATAAATTTCAATCCATGAATTAAGTGAGGTTAAAGTGACATGCAAAATTTTTAATAATTTTTAACATTTTAGAGATAAAACATTGTCTAAAGTATAATTTTCTTTTACAATTTAACTAAAGCAATACATTTCCATTATATGAAAATTTAGACAAAAATTTATAAAAATAATTTCTCCTGTGATGAGAATGCGAAAAAGAGCAAAACATTTTGATTTTCGATATTTAGAATTATATTATCTATATTATCATTTTTATTATAAAACTAGAATACTAATTTTGTATAATATTCTTTTTATCACATTGAGTTCAAAGCTGAATAAAATTTCTGTTACTACTGAAATAAAACTTTGTACTTAACAAAAAGTGCTTTAATTTAAAAAAATAAAATTTTCTTTCGTGTTCTGCCTTAAATTTGAGTAAAATTAATGTTTTTTACGAATACAATGTATCGCCATGTGCTCGAGATGATACTTTAGACCGAGATGACGAAAGAAATATCAATTTGAAATAATGTAGAAAAATAGCATTTCTAAATCAGAGATTTTTATGTAGAGTTAAATTTTTACAATAATTTTTTATTTTAATTCAAAAATGGATTAATATTTAAAGACAAAGAGATATGCTTTTTTTTGTTATAACAATTTTTTTACAGGAAAAATATTGAGATGTGTATAAGTAAGAATAATAAATGAAAATTAAAAATTCGCAATTTAAGAGTTTACTGTTTTTACCTTGTTTTGTTGTTAATATTAACTTATTTTTTCCTTAATATGTAAGAACGCCTTCTAATCGCACCTCGTGGTTTTTTCGTTTTCCCGAAAGATCTATGGCACTAATACCAGCAAAATTCATTCACAACACAGGGATGAAAAGCGCGATACTAGAGAGGAACATGAATTAAGGTCTGCTTACAATAAATTCATTCAAAGCACATACAGATGAAAACTAATGATTTAAAAATTTAAAATAGAAAATACAAAAAAACAGAATTAAATGTCATTTATTTAAAATAGTTTATAGGCTAAATTTCCAAAACTTTGATTATTTAATGTGGGTTAATATTACCAATAATATTAAATAGATGAAAATGAAATATTTTAATGATATATGCAGTTTATTAATAATTAATTAAGCAATTAAATTAATTTAAAATTAAATAATTTTTTTGTAGTTTAAAATTAATAATTGTTTTAAAACGATGGAGAAAATTAAGGTGTGCAAGCACCTTTAAAGCGTTGTCGGACATGCGAGAACGAGAACGGAGAAGGAGAAGAGATAAAGGCTAAAGCATAATACATTCGCTGCTAACGAAATGCATAGATAAGAAAAGGATAGAGATATATTCAATATTTTGTAAATTCTTCCGCTTTCGAAACTCTGCGTTTTGCATTGAGCAGTGAGTGTAACAAGGATAGAGGTATATGTCTTTTTTTCTCTCTCTCATTATCCAAAGCAAAACGCAGCGTTCGAACGCAAGTATGTGAACACCATCTCAGAAATAATATATGTCTATCTCTTTCACTCACACGGATTTGTTGCGTTTTTGTATATTGAGGTCATGAGCGTCATGAGTGCAAAAGAGATGCAGATATGTTTGCTGTTTTTTGGTTAGGTTCGGTATTCGAAGCAAAACAAATGTCGCATGTTCTGATTACTAGCGGAAGTTATAATTTTGTTTATTTTCAAAAATATAGAAGACAAATTTCAATTTTGTTACAATAACAAAATGGGTAAAAAAAATAAAAGTAAAAAAATTAGCGGCATAGAAAAAACAGCTCTTAAAACAGAAAAGAAACTTAATTCTAAAAGAAAAAAAGAACTTTCTGAAGCCGGCGAGGTAAATTAACCCCAATAAATTATAATATATTTCTACTTTTTCATTGTTAAAAATCTATAATAAAATATTTCGATTCTATACAATATTTTATTTATAACTTTGACGTAATTTAAGAAATAAAATTGATTTGTTTATCAATTAATTAAAAACCTTTTTCTCATCAGGTATATAATTAAACTATTTTTTCGTTATAATAAGTAGGTATAAAAGTTAAGTTTTCAGAATTCTAAACAGGCAAAAAGTATTCAACCATAATTACGAGCAAATTACTTTGTTTTGTTCATTCCGAATATAAAGTCTGATTTAAAAAATTCAAAATGGCGGATCCAATATGTCGACAGATTTTTTTAAATTAAGAGGATTCGCTAAAATACATATTAATTTTTAAAGAATATTTCGCTAATTTTAAATTTTGTAAATTTTTACTTTAATTTTTCAAGCATCATCCTTAGTATTAGAGGCATTCCAGGTCAAACCAACATATCGTCAAAATTCCCAATTATTTTTATTTGCCATGGCTCAAACATTTTTTGTTTTAGTACAAGTTGATTTTATGGGAAGAATTTTGTTGTTTACCAAAATAATTGAATTCTTTCGCAAAATTACTTAAAATTTTTTTGAAAATAATGGATTTTCTGCGACGAATTAAAAGTTATTTATTAAAATATTTAAATTATTGCAACAAGTTTTATTATTTAATTGAATAATTGAATGTTTCGTAAAATTGTATTCTTTCGCCTAGTTTTAATGAAATTTTTAAAAATTGCATTTTTCGAGGAATTTATTTAAAATTGTATTTAAAATATTTGAAATTCTGCGATGAAATTTTATTATTTATGAAAATAATTGAATGTTTTCTCTGACTTTTCCCTGACCTGTGAAAACCCTGTAACAACAATAAAATACTTACTTTAATTTATTTTCTTAAAAATAAATTGACCTACATTAAAAGAAAGAAAAAATAAGTTTTCTCAAATGCGGCTAGAGCGATTTTTTTCTCTTTTTGGCTCAAAATGATCGAGAAGCAAATTCAGGAAAAAACAAGAGGTCACTCAAAAAATACATAATGCTTTTTTGCAGCTGATTTGAACTTTTCTATTTATCTTGAATATTATATTCTAAAAAATAATAATATAGAATATAAAATACTCAATTTCTTGTCAATAAACAGATGCTATTTTTAGGACGACATTGAGAAAATAGTAGCCAACATTGAAAAGGAAGAAGCCAAACGCAATCGAGTTACAGAATGTGTTATTGCACCTCCTTCTCGACGACTAAACTTCACATTATCCGTGCATCCATTCAAAGATGAGTTGATTATGTTCGGAGGTGAATTTCACGATGGCCAAAAAGTAAAATATGTTTTTTATTTCCTTCAAGGAATTCGTGTATTGCATTGACATTCAATTACAAATTGAAATTCTTTCTTGCAGACTATTGTTTACAACGATTTATTTTTTTATAATTTAAGTAAAAGAGAATGGTCCGTTACAAAAGCACCAGGTGCACCACCTCCGAGGTGTGGTCACCAGGCGGCAATTGTTCCATCCGCTAAAGGAGATTTATGGATTTTTGGTGGCGAATACACGAGTCAATCAGAGTCACAGTTTTATCACTATCGGGACTTGTGGGTTTACCGTCTAGGAGAAAAGAAGTGGGAAAAGATAACGTGAGTATTGTTTCAGCCTTTGGATAAAAATAAGAGAATTTTCCTTTGCTTCGAATGTGAATTTTTTCTCAATATTTTTTTAATTACTTAGAGCGTCTGGTGGTCCATCAGCAAGAAGTGGTCACAGAATGGCTTACATGAAAAAACAGTTATTCATATTTGGTGGATTTCACGATAATCTGAGGGATTACAAATATTTTAATGATGTTCACATCTTCGACCTAAGTAGTTATACGTGGAGCAAAATAGAAGTATCGGGTAATGACTAATTGACTACCTTTTGTTGAAAGAAATTAACTCATATTTTGCCTTTATTATTATTTCTCACGGCAAATATGTTTCAGGAAATGCACCTGCTCCAAGATCTGGATGTATTGTGCTTCCAACTTCTGATAATAAACTTCTCGTTTATGGCGGTTACAGTAAGCAGCGAATAAAAAAAGATGTTGATAAAGGCCAGGTTCATACAGACATGTTTGTCTTGAATCCAGATAGTAAGTTTCATACATTTTTCTAAAACTACTAGACGCACTGGGAAAATTTGTACACATTTGTACAAATGTTCATCAAAATTCTGGTTGTTTAAATTGACATATTAGGGGGATTCCATTGTTGAATGACGTAATTTATTTTGAGTTGACATAGAAGAAAATGTATTATTATAATTTATATTTTCAACATTATAGCTGTGTTTTGTTGGTAATTTAACAGAAAACGATGTGACGGGAGTAAAATGGAAATGGACGTTAGTAAACCAAGGAGGGATTAAACCATCACCTCGTTGTAGTTCAACAGCAATTTTAGTTCAGCCAAATTTGGCATACTTATTTGGAGGCGTTTATGATGACGATGATAATGAAGAGGACCTCAATGGGATATTTTTCAACGATTTATTTGCATTAAATTTAGAAAAATATCAATGGCATAAAGGTAGTCTATCTGTCTATTCATTGTTCGCATAAACTTGGTAATACATTTAATATTTATATACTCCTTTTATACACTGAAAAACTTTAATGATAACTTATCAACTTCATGTACTTCTTAAACCTTTCAGTTTAAAAAAATGAATCCTCTTTTAAATAATAATATATTTAAGAACCAGGTTCTTAAATTTTGACGCATTATTAGTTACAGTAAGTCAAAAGCTTGAACAGGAGGATCGGAAAAAGAGAAGGAAAGAGAAAGGAATTGATGACGATGAAGAATCGATGGTTGTTGAGGAAGAGGCCGTTGAAGAAAAAGTTACTACAACAGATGACGACGGTATTTTTACGGTAATTATTACTATCATTAGTCACAGTAACCTGTGACCTGATAATCTCTCTTTCCAACCGTCCTTCAAGTTTTGAGACTGAATCCAGGTCCACAACTTTGTATTAAAATTTCACGCCGCAGAATTACGGTTTTCATCTTCATTGAATTTAATTTCCCGATTTGTATGCGTTTTTGTAGATGACTGTCGGTCCAGCTCCAAAAACTTCCAGTGCTGTGTTGGAAGAAGTAAAAGTCGGTACATTTACTCCATGTCCAAGAATTAATCCAGGTCTAGCAGTGAAACACAATATTCTATACTTATATGGAGGAATGTTCGAAAATGGAAGCAGGCAATACACTTTCAACGACTTTTATTCTCTTGGTAAGTACTTTAACTTATAAAATTCGAATTAAAAACATTTTCTTCATTTACAATTTACAATTTTTGAGATTGAAAAAATAAATTACGCTCAAAATGATTCCATGCTTCAGATTGTAAAAAACTCGATCAATGGACAACTATTATGAAAGATGACTTATCATCTCTAGAGTGGCTCGGAAGTTCAAGTTCCGAAGATGAGGGAAGTACTGACGAATCTGACACTTCAAGTGATGAAGAAAGTCCTGATGAAATGGATGTTGACAAAGCATAAGAATAAAAGTATGATGAAATTGATGGAAATTTTGGATGTATAATTCATATTCTGTTATGTAATTTCAAATGAAACATTTTTTTATAAATGCAAGAACAATTTGTACAAATTCAAATTAAAATGCCTTTTGAATCAATTTGTAAAATTTGCATTTGAAATTTAATGGGTGAATCATGAAATTCGGCTATAACTTCGTCATTTATTAAGATATCGACTTCAAAATTTCACCAGATATTCCTAAGTTGAAATTCAAGAAAATAAGACTTGAAGAAAATGCAAAATTGAAAACTAGATTTTTTACCACGCTAGGTGTATAGGAATATCGAAGTCGATGTGATTTTTTCATAGAGACTCAATAGGAAAATCGCATGGTCTTTGACAAAATTACTTAACTATAGCATTACTGTAGAATAAAAATAATTAAGTTTTAATTTTCTTTAATTGGAAAAAACTGAAGATTCGAATAATACGAGTAGCGCAGTTCCTTTATACAGATCTGCACAGTCTGAACCACCATTCAATCTACTTTTCTTCACGCATCAAACTAAAGTAAAAAGTCTCATCGATGCGTTTTGTAACTAGGTCATGAGTATGAGAGAGATGGAGATATATGTTCCCTATATTTGCACTCACGGCCTAGTTATAAAACGCAACGCAAAACACTGTCAGTGCACCCTGAATATTTCCGCGAGAATTCGGATTTTTTAAAGTTTTGATTATATCCTTGCAAAACAGCAGTAAAATAGATAATTGTCAATATAAATAGCATAACAAATTTAATTAATATAAAAATGTGACGCGCTCCCAAGAAAAGTACCTAAGAAGCAAAAATTTTTAGGTTATGTTCATAATCTTTTGAGTAAAGATGCAGAAAGAAAAGCAATTACTATTACAAATTAATGATATTTAAGTCTTCATTACATCAAAAATATTCAATAAAAACTGATTTTAAATTAAAATAATTAAAAAGGAACTTTTAATCAAGATAAATCTAACACAAACATAACCTACAATTCGTTTGTTATAAAATTAAAAAAAACTGTTATTTTTTAAAAAGTTATGCATATTTTTCTGACGTAGACAGAAAAAGAATAAAATGTTAAATTTTAGAAAAATGTTATATAATTTGTGGAGAAAATGCGACTAGGTGAAATTTTGATATAAAAAATTCAAAACTTTTTAAAAAATATACTAAATTTAGTATTAGTTAAATATCAAGAACATTAATCAAATTTTAACATAACTATACTAAATATATTAAGTTTTTTTGATGTTTAGTATTTTTTATACAAAAATTCCACTTTATTGCATTCCCCCCCAAATTGTATAATAATATATTTACAAAATTTAATACACTACCACTATTAACAAAAAAATATTAATTTTTCAATAAGATATTTTACAAAAACCCCATTTTTAGTAATTTCCTAATTTCTTTATATCTTCCAAAGAAATTAACGTTTTAACGTTCATAGAATCATATTAATCGCATTTTTTTTGTAAAATTGAGATTTCTTACAAAAATTTATCTGTTATATTTCTTTAGAAAGTTCAAGTAATTAAAGTTGTCTAAAACAAATCATAAAAATTATGATTACTATTTAGATGCTAAAAAAGAATTAGTAAAATGCGTTATTTCGAAAAAATGTTTAAACTTCGAATAAAGTTTTGGAATATAATTTTTAAAAATAAAAATTATTTTTCAATTGTAGAAGTGCCTTCAAAATTTTTATACTTTTTTCTTTTAAATTTCGTGACTTTGCATTTTCTAAAGAAATGTATGTAGATTATAAATTCTTGTAAAAAATATGATTCAAATGAGCCTATGAACGTTAAAAAACGTTAATTTCTTCGGAAGATATAAAATAGTTAAATCACTGACAACGGAGTTCCTATATTAAATATCTGATTGACAAATTAATATTTTTTTTTTGTTAAGGAGTCATTTTTTCAGAATTTTATCAGTTTATCCTTATTAATAAAATCAGATGTCTGTCTGTACATTGCTTAAAACTTCAAAATGTTAACATGATTAGTTATTATGGACATCAGAGATTCCAAAAATGTTCTTAAAAAATTTAATGTATGTATGTATGTATGTATGTATGTATGTATGTTTGTCTGTCACAAAAACTTTGTACCCCAATCACACAAAAACATGTGAATCGATTTAAGTCCAACTTGGTAGGTTATTAGGTATTGACCCAAGGAAGGTTTATAAATTTACAGATTTAAAAAATATTAATTAGAACGGGAGATATTCAATTTTTTCGAAAAATTCAAAAAATCGAAAATTTCAAAATTTTTATTTTTCATGGATTGCTTTTGAAGTTTATATACTTGAGTATTATATGTTATTTAGTCACATTATAGCATAACTTTGCAAAAAATAAAGTCCTATAACTAATATGTAAGTATAAAAATGTTTTCAAAAAATCGAAAATTTCAAAATTTTACATTTTTTTATGGATTGCTTTTAAACTTTCTATATTTGAGTATTACATGTTATTTGGTCACATTTTAGCATAATTTTTCAAAAAATACTATTCTACAACTAAGATGTAAATATAAAAATATTTTCAAAAACTTGAAAAATGGAAAATTTCCAAATTTCACAATTTTTAATGGATAGCTTTTAAACTTTCTAAAAATGAATATTATATGTTATTTAGTCAGATTTTATCATAATTTTGCAAAAAATACTATCCTACAAGAAATATAAAAAAATTTTCAATATATCAAAAAATCGATACTAATTACTATATGAAGTATAATTCAGTAGTATTTTTGGAGTCTCTGATTAATATTTTGATGTCAAAATAGTGCAATTCAAAATTATTTATCAAATCAATCTAATATTTTCAAGAAGTTCAGAAATATTGAAAATGGAAATTTTTTATGATTAAAATGATTTCGCAGGATGTCAAGAATTGTAAGTCACCTGTGATACAATACAAGCATATTATGCCACTAGGCAAAAACTTACATGTTAAAACGTTTTTTCATTTTAACTCTAGATTTAACTTTAAGAGATGTTTTGAGCAATGTAAAGACAAAAGTTAACACGGTGTCTATTTTTGTTTAACAAAATTCCCTGCTTTGTCCAAACTTTTCACGGTTTATCTCTTTTTTGTCAAATTTAAATTTACTTGATTTTATCCATAAATAAATCTACAAATGGCTATAAAAATTTACTTATTGTATGAAAATACTGTTTCTTAAGTTCATATAAATATAGATTGTATTACTTGCTGTCGTACAGTTTTCTGTTTATACTAATACATTTAACTGGGTATCTACCAAACGGGAAAAACTGTAAAAAGCTGGGAATATGCCGAACCGGGAATTTTCCTATCAAATTAAGAAAAAGTTTCATTATATTAATTCGCTTTTAAAAAATTGCTTTTTACTTCAATTTTTATTGATGTATAATATTAATGAAAACAGACCCGAGTCAAAATTTAAGCCCTACTTTCAGCCTAAAATTTAGGTCTTATGTTAGGTTTTAGCAGTCGTAACGTAGGGTCTACTTGCGATACAATTAGTTCCAATTAGACTCTACTATAACTCCAAAAACTGTATGGAAAATTTAATTTTTTTAATACATTAATTAAAGTACTACAAATTGATAAATATTCTTCTCTGCATTTGAATTGGTTAAAATAACTAATTTGATAACAAAAAGTCAATCACTGATTCAAATAGTAATATTTTCCTACTAAAATAGCTATAATGGTAACTAATTATTATTTTTTTCCGGTCAAATTAAATTCCCTAGCTATTTCCTGATTTTCCAGATTGGTAGAAACTTAAATGTATTGGTAGAAACTAAAACCCGTCGAAGACGGGTACGACAGCTAGTTGAAAATAAAAGGGAAAAATTATTAGTTATATTTTTTGAGTTAAAAGTTATTGAATAGTCATGAAAAAAGTTGGGGTCGCACAATTGTTGTTAAAACAACATTTTTTTCTGCGTAAAATTCCACAGAAAATATAACTTTTGAAGCAACGAAAAAAGTACTTTTCCGCCCACTGCTGGCAGTCGGGCGGCAAAAGACTATTTTCCGCCCGCTGTACATGCACGGAAAGTCGAGTTTATCGCACGTGTTGCACAAAAAATATACAATTTCTTGTTAACTTTTCCTAACCACTATTAAAGAGTGTGAAGCTGTTTTGGTTGAAAACTGACATAAAAATCTGCTCACGTCAAAAATCATAATTATTTGTTTTTACATTCAGATCATTAAATGTGACCAAGGACTTCTTTAATCAAATAGTAATTTATTCATTCTTTAAAAAATGTATAATTTTTCCTGTTTACCTTTATTGAAATTAATACTTTTAATTTCCTTTTTTTCCTTAACAACATTTACCTAAAACACAAAACAATTGTCATTTTATCAGGTACCTACAATGTTTCTTAATATTTTCATACAGCCTTTTTTTCATAAATAAATCACAGTATTTACAAAATTTAAATTTATAATTCTGGAAATATTTTAAACTAAATAATCCAAATAAAAATATTCTTCTTGAAATATATTTATTATCTTAGTGCTTGGACGGTAGTCATCATACTTTTTCAAGAAATTCACCTTTCGATGTTTCTCAAAAAAAAGATAGTGACTGTCATCGAAACATTGAGATAGTAAACAATCAAAATTTTGAATTTTTTTATTCTTATTATTTGGTTGAAGATATTAACCTAATTATAATATTATACAAAATCAAAAAACTTCTTTTTACAATAAAATTTAAATTTTTCATACATAAATACTTGCAATACATTCGAAATTTATTTTATACACATTAACGATTTAAATTAAAACTGTTATTTGCTCTTCAAAAAGCGATCTATTTGAAAAACAATGTTAAAATAAAATAGCTAATACTTTACTCTCAAGTAAAAGAGATGAAAGGTATTAAATAAAAATTAAAGAGAGTATTACAATAAGAACTAAAAAAAATGGCACGATATTTAAGGTAACGATATACCTCACAACATAATAATTACTTTTAAGTACAAAATTATAAAAAAATAAAACTAGCAAACACTCAGTAAAAATTACAGAACCTGAATTTGATTTTTGACTTTCAACAAATTGATAATCTCTTCCTTTAAAAATGGAAGTATTAAAGTTATATTTACAGAATCAAGTAATGAAAGTAATTAGATAATTAATTTTTTCACCTACTTTCCACGAATGGAAACTAAACTTCTACTATGTACATTATTAACTTATCTTACTCTTTATTATTAAATAAACATTATTTTTTTACACACATAGAAAGGGCAGAATGTCCTAAAACGGACCGGTTTTATTTGACGTTTTTTGCATACAAAAATTTGCAATTAAAAATTATTGAATTTAAAAAGGAAATATCAGTCTTCTGAAGGTTAAGAAAATACACTGTGGAAAATACCATTTTTATGGCTTGTATGTATAATTTCTATGGATTTTCATTAAATTATATTGAATTTTACTTATCAATGTACAAAAATTAATTAGAATTCAGATAAATCTGACTCGATTTAGTCTGTTTTTTTATGAACTACAATTTCAAATTGACATCATATACTTTATCAAAATTGCACTCCTCTCACGTCTTATATCCATTCCGACTTCTATATAATCGTAACTGAATAATTGCTTTCAGATAACTTCCAATAATATGATCATTTAGGGTACATGAAACGAAAAAAAACATTAAAGAAAGAAATTTCATGCTATTATTTATCATAAAAAATATTGAATGTATCATTCAATTCTGTCACAGTGAATTCAGTGTGAGATACTATAATCTATAGTATCCTTTCATAAAATAAGTATAGTTCACAATCTCTTTTCTTCTTTTCACATGTAGATGAAGTTGAATCTAAAACAAATACAAATTCCGTTAGATTATAAAGCAAAAAATAAAACGAGATAATTTCTCATTTTTTTCAACTAGGAATAACTGATTGCTTTATATTCGTAAAAGTTATATGCAATTTCGGTATTTACTGCTAAAGTCGTAAGGCATAATTTAAACTCTAAAGGAGTGAACAAATGACCAACCTGCAAAGTGCTTGTGGAAGTGAAGAAATTATTGGTCCATAGCCTTGCGAATTATCATACAACTCAAATAATGGCGCTGCTACAAGTTTGTAATTTTTGGGTACTGCAACAAGAGCTGTAAAAAGAGTGATTATTAAGAAAAACTAATTTTGCACTCACGGTTAGTCTACTGTAAATAAAAAATCTACCCAGTAGTAAACCCTCTTTTTAACACTTATGTTTTGTAAAATTTTGTTAAATAAATATTCAAATCATTCTTATTTGTTTTTCCATGGAAAATAAAATTAGAAAAATTTCAATTTCAATTTAAAACCTTCTGAAATTTAATAATTTCTTAAAATTAAATTTATAACCTTTCCAAAATTAAATTATTTTCTACAATTTTTAACTAACCTTCATCTCCAAATCAATTATTTTTAATAATTTTCCAAAAGTTCTTCCAATTATTTAAATACAAAAACTCAATTTTTCATAATAATTGTAACTGTTTATGATTGTTTTTTTTAAAGTTATTATATTAAGATGAATTACTGAAAATATTTAACTAAAAATATTGAAAATAACTGATTTTTAAGAAATTATAATAAAGAAATTGTTAAAATTAATTTTTTAAATAATTTTTGAAATTTAATAGATTTTCAATTTTTACAATAAAAAAAATTTCCAAATAATTGAAATTTGGTAAAATCTCTTAAAAATAATTGAATTTTTAAAAAATATAAAAAGAAATAATCAAATTTTTATGAAGAATTTAAATTTTAAATATGAACATGATTTCGTCAAAATTTTAATAGTTTTCTAAAAAGTAAATTTTAAAAAATTTTTATTTATTTTGTTCGAAGATAATTGAATCTTAAAAAATTATAAAGAAACAATTATAAGACACAAATTTTTAAAAATATTTCAATGTAATTTTTCGAAAATAATTTATTTTTTTTTAAAGTTTTAATAAAACAACTTTTAACATGATTGTTTTCTCCAAAATGTGAAAAATAATTCTAAAAAAATTTAATCTTATTTTTTGTACGTATTTGAATTTTCGGAAGTATGTAATTGTAAATAATTATTTATTTTTTCAAAGGAATTAAAATTTTAAATAATTTTAATGTAAAAGGGTAATTCTACGCGAAACGGACAACCTGAAATTTAATATTTAATTACAATCTAAAATGTAACTAAACTTAATTTTTAAATCAATTCTTATTATTAAGTTCTATAATAATTAAATTATTTAAATACAAAAATAAATAATTTGTAGAATAATTTACTATTACTTAAAATTAAATACTTTTAAAGAATTTTGTCAAAATTTTTGAAAATAATTAATTTCTTTCGAAGAATTTTAATTAAACTTTTGAAAATATTTCCATTTATCAAGGCATTCATTTAAATTTGTGTTAAAAATAATTGAAATCTTGTGAAGAATTTTATTATTTATGAAAATTATTGAATTCTCGCAACGAGTTTTATTACATTTTTTTGAAATAATTGAATTTATGTGAAAAACTTTATTATTTATAAAAATAATTGAATTCTTGCGAAGGATTTTATTAAAATTTTTGAAAATAATTGGATTTTTTGAATCATTTATGAAAATTTAAAAGAATAATTTAATTAAAATTGAATTAAAAAAAATTGAATTCTTGTGATTAATATCAAAAACAGTTAACTCCAAGTTCCTGTCAAATTTGCTCATTGGCTTAGTGAAAAAGTCTAGATTATCAGAATAAGAGTTCAGATTAGAATTAGAAGGAATATAAAACTATAAAACAATCATAATTATTTTAAAGAATTTCATAAAAATTTTTTGAATTGTTTCTAAGAAGAATTTTATTGAAATTTTTAAGAATAATTTTTTTAATTTTACTATTAGCGGATTTAAATGACTGCAAATTTTCAAAAAAAAAGTATCCAAATAGTAGCTAATCCGATTAAAAGTTAAGTAGTAAATAGATTTTAGTAGATAACTGCGAAGCCTGCAATTCAAAAATGGATTTTAATTTTGTATATAAAACTTTGAGCAATTTTACCTTTCTCTTGCAATTGAACTAAGAATAATCTTTTGTGTTCTTTTGGTTTTGTAATGTGCGGCGGTACGTAAGGGTATTGTGGAGGTTCGAAATTGGGTCTCCACCAATTTCCTATGGTATCCTCAATAAGCCATTCTTGTTTTACACCATCCTGTCGACCCAGAATCTATAAAATAACAAAATTTTTTTTTTTTTACTTCTTTCAAATTAATATTAATACATTTTTTCTCTAATTCCCTTTACCATAGAATAGACTCGAAAAAAATATCAAGAATACAAATTTTTTATTCATATAAATTTTCTTAGCAGAATTTATAGTATCATTGATTATTACCTCAGTAAGAAGTCGTTTTAGACCCTCAACTTCATCTTCACCTGCATTCAGTTCTCCGCCAGGTCTACAAAAGATAAATTTATTAAATTAAATTCAAACAACCTCAATGTTAAATGTTCAGCTTTAATATATCTCGAAAGTGGTGAAAACTATAGATAAATTCGAGGCTGGGTTCTGTACTCTTCTTTTTGTTAACCCTTGTGTCCATACCCAACAAATTCTACGTTGTCTCGCACCCGGGGTACCCGGGTACTCACTAAAGAAAAAAAATGTATAAAAAATAATCTGACCAGCAGAACCAGGGGTATTTTGTCTCTGCGCTCCATATCTTCGATATTTATGTTAAATAAAAGCAATTTCTTCAATAAAAATTTTTTTTTGGTATAAATAAATAAATAAAAAATTAGTTTAAACTATAGATATGCAGTGTCAGCACTCTGGGTGGCTGAGACAAATTGTTTAAAAATTCAGTAGATTCACTTGAAATTTGTTACTCGGGGTTTTTACGGTCGCTGAAAACGAATATGGGGTTAGTTTTTAAAAATTCAAAATGTCGAATCCAATATTAGTAACCGCCATATTGGATCCGCCATTTTGAATTTTCAAAAACTGACGTCATATTCGTAATCAGCGACCCCAAAAACCCCCGAGTAAAAAATTACAAGTGAATCTAATGACATTTTAAAAATGTCGTCCGCCATATTGGATCCGCCATTTTGGATTTTCAAAATCTGACATCATATTCGTAATCATTAACCCCGAAAACCCCCGAGTAACAAATTTCAAGTGAATCTAATGAATTTTTAAACAATTTGTCTCAGCCACCCAAAGTGCTGACACTGCATATCTATAATTTAAACTAATTTTTTATTTATTTATAACAAACAAAAAATTTTTTTTTGAAGAAATTGCTTTCATTTAACATAAATAACGTCGATCTGAAGCGCTGAGACGAAATTTTAATATTTACGTGAGTAAAATGAAAAAATGTGTAGTCGTGGGTACCCGGGTATGAACACATGGGTTAAAAGTAATACCTCTACAGTTTTCCCAACCTACTTAACGATTCTTAAAGATAAATTAACTTACAATTTGAAGAAGGTAGTTCCTAGCTGAAGGAGTAAAACATGAGGCAATCCGTGTTCGTGAACTAATAAAACTCCTTCCACGCTGCGGCGCATTCCAATTTTATCAAATTCATCTCTCATTCGTTGAAATCTTGCCGGGACGGATGGATCTTTTTCAAATAGAGGCTCCTTTGTTCCAAATGTGTAATTCGTCAAAGGATATCTACAAAAATAAGGTTACAAATCAAGATTCGCGGTAGAGAATCGCCGCCAAGTAAAAAGCAAAAACCGCGAATATATATTCTCGAAATATCGGCTGTTTTTCGATAAAATTGAATAACTCGAGTAAATCTTAACCGATTTGGCTCATTCTTTTTTCGTTGGATAAAGAATAGAAAAAGAAAGAGTTCTGTTAAGTTTATTCAATATTTTATATAGTTTTATAGAATTTAGGCTAGGAAAACCGGAAAAATAGCGATTTTTTGAGATTTAAACAAACGTGGAGCGTAAACTCCTGAATGGATTTCTGAAATATTCTAGAATATTATTAATAAGGTTAAAATCTCGATATACATTTCAGGAAATTTTAATTCACTTCGTATTTTTTTAAAACTTTTGATTTTTCTCAAAAAAATTGAATTTTTTGACATTTAGACGAACGCAGAGATTAAACTACTTAACAGATTTGTAAAATATTTTGAAATATTATTATGGATTGAAAGCTTGAAATTTATTTTAAAAACTTTTTTGTTTTTATGTTATTTTTAGTGTATAGAATAAAAATTCTAAAAATTATGTAAAAATTTCTGTAAAGAATCATATCTTAAATAAATTCTTATTTAAAACTTAATTGTATTTTATTTTAAATTATTAGTTCAAGTACCACAATATTTTTACAATTAATTATTTCATTTATTAAAAAGTTGAGATGACGCAAAAAGTTTTAAAATCCCAACAAAAACATCTTTGATGCAAAAGGTTCCGCCAAGTAAAAGATTTTGTGACTGTCCAATCAGTTAGTGAAATAAAAGTTTACCAAGTAAAATTTATAATTAAAATTTTAATAATGATTGATTTTAAATATTTTCTCTACTACACAACTCGAAGTACATATTGCAGTTGAAAAAAACAACCCGGGCTTAGCTGTTGTTATTCTACATTGCGGCTTAATTACATTTCCGAATTAAGTCAATGTTCTTCATTGCATTTTGAATTGTAACAAATAAAATTTAACTTTATAATTAACATTAACAAAAAACGAAATCTAATTACTCGTCATAATAAAAAATTTCTATTTCAGAAATTTAAAAATCTTGGCGTCAATAATGCTTCTAACTTGTAATTAATGAAAGTATTGACGCCAAGATTTTTAAATTTCTGAAATAGAAATTTTTTATTATGACGAGTAATTAGATTTCGTTTTTTGTTAATGTTAATTATAAAGTTAACTTTTATTTGTTACAATTCAAAATGCAATGAAGAACATTGACTTAATTCGGAAATGTAATTAAGCCGCAATGTACAATAACAACAGCTAAGTCCGGGTTGTTTTTTTCAACTGCAATATGTACTTCGAGTTGTGTAGTAGAGAAAATATTTAAAATCAATCATTATTAAAATTTTAATTATAAATTTTACTTGGTAAACTTTTATTTCGCTAATTGTTTGGACAGTCACAAAATCTTTTACTTGGCGGAACTTTTTGCATCAAAGATGTTTTTGTTGGAATATTTTCATTTTTTTAATATTTAAAAATACAGCCAAAACTCTGTCTTGGTCAAATTTCTATTAGATGTTTACCACTCTTTTAAAATTTATTAGTGACAAGCAAAAATTCAAAATTCAAAAGCAAAAAGTCAGTCACTAACTCCAATTAGTAATCATTTTTACTAATTCAAATTTATAGAGAAAGTATTTTTTTAAGTTTTTTTGAAAAAGTATATTTGAATTTTTTTTAAGTTATTTGAAGTTTTTATTTTCTAATATATATTTGATTAAAACACAGGATTTGAAAATTTTCAAAAATTATTAAAAATAATTAATTTGATGAAGAATTTTAGTTAAAAATTCTGGAAAACAATAATTGAATTAAAGTGATGAAAGTAATTTTGAATTAGTTACAGTAACAATATTCTTATTTCTTATAATATAAAATAATGATTTTATCAGTCGGTTATTTTTAATTATTATAAAACATGAAGAAATCGATCACTCCGAGTCTTCGACTCGGAGCAAGTTTGTTAATTTCAAAAAGGTTCGAATTTGAATCTTTTGAAGAATTTTTATTCTTATGGAAAAATAATTAAATATTTATTTTAAAAAGATGAATATAACAATGATCAACCGAATTTGATCAGAAATACGAAATTATTGTTATTTTGAAAACAAAAAATTATGGAAAATAGCATTTTCAAAATTTATAGTAAAAATAATTTTTTAAAAACACAAGTGTTTAATGTAATAAAAATTTCGATAATAAAAAAATAAAATAAATTGATCGAAAAAAAATCTCCATGAGTAAACAAAGTAACATTTTTGTGGTTTAAATTCATATTTCCACCATGTTTTCAAAAAAGACAGAAACTGCAAAAAAAAAGAAAAATTGTTTTATATCGCTGGAATCGTGGAAAAAATATTCACCTGTTAATTAATTAGAATCTTTAACTAATTTTAAAAGTTCTTTTTCCCTAATCAATACTTTATAAAATATAATTAAAGAGCATACCTCTTTCTTATTCGAAAAAGAATTTAATTTCGAATTGTTTTTTCAATTTTTTAATTCATGCGGCATTTCAAGTGCTTGAGTTCTTCATTTTTGGAGTACTAAATGCATTTAAACAAAAATAAAACTCCAATTTCCATTTCATGTACTATTACTCAAAAAAGTAAAAAATTTATTTACAAGTGAAAACAAATGGAGTAATTTTTTATACTTTATTACTAAATTAAAATTTATTTAAAAATTACTTAAATTTCGAAATTAAAATTCATCTTATGCACAAGGTGCAAGCATCGAAACATAAATAAACCAGAGCACGATGAATGAAAAATTTTGACACGCAGCTTTTTCTCGACACCGTGCGGTTTGTGTTTCTAATTGTTTGTTTCATATAAAGAACAGAGACATGAGAAAATGATTAGAAGCTGAACTTCCGTAAACTATGAGTGAGTGAATGAAGAAAATGTGAGTGAAATGTATTGAAGGCGAATAAATAATATTATGAAATAAGGCAACTTACAAATTTATAGTTCTGTTGATAGTGACCAATGGATTTGGTTTCCATTCCTTTCCATCAAAGGAACTATTGCTTGCCCTTCGCGGCCAACCGCTTCCCTTTACCTGTGTAGTCATCGCCATAAATTCAATGTATTAATCTCGCTCGAGATCTTGTCAAAGTAAAAAATACTCAATTGGAAATTGTGCACAAAATAAACGAAGAAATTATAATATTTACAAAGTTTCTCAGGGGTTTTTCTAACGATTCAAGAATAAAAAATACTTATATTCTACATCAACTGTTAATAATACACTTCTCGACCGTAAGCCGCAATAGAATACACTATACACATTAAGCACGGTACACAGTGACACTGACACGCTGGGAAGATGCCGGGCAGGGATGGGTAGTTAAGGTTGCAAGCGTCATGTCAGTTTTAAGGGGGTCTCACAGTCGATTGGATTTTTACATTCATCGACTTTGTTAAATCTAAACCCGCCTTAAATTATTAAATGCCCAAATCCAGATATATTTTCACTCTATTCTTATAGTTTACGTGGTTTACGTTTTAGTGTGTATACTGAGGAAATTGATCATTTATTGAGTTTCTGAATCTGAATTTCAAACAAAATCTATATTTAATTGTATTATTCATTTCAAGAATTATTTAATTATTACAGTTTTTAAATTTAGTGTCCACTGCTTATTTAGAAAATAAATCAACAGTAAAAAAATGTAAGTAATATATCGTACATTTGAAGAGTTACAAACGATTGATGCATTAAAATTTTATATTAAATCAGAGTCGTAATGACAATATTTCTTTTTTCTATATTTAATTTAAATAATTTCACGTATTTCGTATAGAGCAACATAAATTCGGGAAGTGGGATTCGAAATATCTTTAGTTGTGGAAGGTATTGAAATGGAAACAGACCGGTGTGTGCACCGGTGTTTCTAATTTAAATTCTCTTTAGCATTTTAGAAATTCGAAAGGATTTAAGAAAATGTTTATTTTATATTTTAATTCCCTATATGTATTTCACTTTAATTAAAAATTTAATCTCAAAAATTGAGACTGAATTTAAATGTAAACTAAAGAACACGTGATTAATTATAAAAGAGGTTAAATATTTATTACAACTATGCGTTTAATTCATTATAGTACATAATTTTAGCAATACAAATAAAAAGATCCTCCCGGATTTTCCAGGCAGAAATTCGTGTATAGATTTAAAACAACTTAAATGTAATGCGTTCCCAAGAAAGGTACCTAAGAAGCAAAAAATTTGAGGTTATGTTTATAATTTTTTGAGTTAAAATACAGAAAGAGTATCAATTCCTATTACAAATTATTAAAGTTCAAATCTTTATTACATCAAAAATATTTAATAAAAACTGGTTTTAAATTTAAATAATTAAAAAGAAACTTTTAATCAAGATAAATCTGTGACAAACATAACTTTTTTTTCGTTTGCTTCTTAGGCACTTTTCTTGGAAGCGCGTCACAAATATTTATATTTACAAATGTCCGAATGTTTTCGTTTTATTTACCTTATTTTATAAAACATCTCAGATGTTATTTAAATTTATTTAGAATTAAAATCTTCAGAGAAAGATTCACTCGAAAATTTGTGCATATTGTTTTAAATTTTAGGTCGTCCTTAACTAAACCAAAATCTGAGATGACTCCAGAGGAGCTGGCGAAAAGAGAGGAAGAAGAATTCAATACCGGACCGCTGTCGGTCTTAACTCAGTCTGTTAAAAACAACACCCAAGTATTAATCAATTGTAGGAATAATAAAAAGTTACTCGGCCGAGTGAAAGCCTTTGACAGGCATTGTAACATGGTTTTGGAAAATGTCAAAGAAATGTGGACCGAACTTCCTCGCACTGGCAAAGGAAAGAAGAAGGTATATTCTACATTTTGCACCATTTTTTCTTATTAATTGCTAGAATATTTTTAACTAGTATTTTACTTAGTCACCGACTGTATGAACTAAATAATCCTTAATGCTAAGTGTTTACATTATTACCTTTTATTTTCTTTCCAAAAATTAATCAATGGGTTTTAAAATTGTTTTAGGCGAAGCCTGTGAATAAGGATCGATTCATCTCCAAAATGTTTCTCAGAGGCGATTCAGTTATCCTGGTTTTAAGAAATCCATTGGCGACAGCGAGCGGAAAATAATTACTTACTCTTTGTACCTAATTTAAGTCTAAAAATATAATTTCTACTTTCAAAAAATTATCGTTTTATTTTTCAGTTTAACTCATACATTGTAACACTTATTCATTGTACATTCATTAATTAAATTAATTTGAAAAAACAATATTAATTCATAAACTTTTATGAGCTAGAAAAATCTCTCTTAGACATCTGTAAGTGAGAAACCTCTATAAGCGAGAGAAAATTGACTAAAAATTTTAAATTCAATTGAATTTTATGAAGAATTTTTATTCAGTTTTCAAAATAATCATGTTTATTATTAATTGTAATTAAAAATTTTCCTATTAAATTATATTGAAATTATTCATAGAAAATTAAATTCTTTTAAACAATTTTATTCGAGATTTTGTAAATAATTACATTTTTTTAAGAATTTCATTAAATTTCGTAAAAATAATGTAATTTTTTTAAGTAATTTTAATTGAAAATTTTGAAAATAATTCAAATTTACAAAGAATTTTATTAAAAACTTTTGAGAACAACTGAAGTGTCTAAAAAAATTTTATTATAATTTTTAAAAATAATTGAACCTGTTGGAGAAATTTTATTAGGTAAAATCTGAAAATAATTTAATTTCTCAGAACAATTTTATTATTTACAAAAATAATTGAATCCTCATCAAAAATTTTACAATTTATAAAAATAATTAAATTGTTTCGAAAAAGTTTTTATCAGAATTGTTAAAAAAATAATTTAATTTTTTATTAAAACACTTGAAAATAATTAAATTTAAAAATTTTTTAAAATAATTAAAATTAATTAATTTAATAATTAAATATCGCATTTTAATGAAGAAAATCGAATAATTAACATGCGGGAGGTAGGGGAATGAGTTACTTTGCGCCCGCCCTAAGTGCCCGAAATGACATACTTTCCGTGCATGTAGGATAAAAAATAATTAAATTGTTTCGAAGAATTTTTGAATATAATTGAAGTTTCTGAAGGAATTTTATTAAAAAATTTTGAAAATGTTTTTTTAAAAGAATTTCATCAACATTGTTGAAAATAGTTGAATTCATATTAAAATTCTTAAAAACAATTAGAGTTAAATAATATTTTTAAATATAATTATGTATTCTTTCGAGAAATTTTATTAAATTTGCATTGAAAATAATTGAATTTTTGTGAAGAATTTTATTATTTATGAGAAAAATGAAATTCTTGTGAAAAATGTTATTAAAATTTTTGAATAATAATAAACAAGAATATTTAAAATTATGTACTTAATAAATGAATTCTTTAAATTTTAAATCTGTAATTATTCAAAAATTGATGTTTATTCTTGGAAATACCTACAAAATTTTTGAATTTAAAAAATAATAAGAAATGGAATACCTCGTTCCGCGCGCGTATCATTTGCTAGTTTCAAATTAAAGTGTGCAGGAAAGTAAAACAATCTTGTTAAAATTAGGATTTATTAGGAATAACGTATATTTAAAAAAAGTACAAATACCCAAACTTAATCCTTTTCAGCAATGGCAGTTAAATGTTTGTCAATTTCGGTCTCAGAAAGAACACTGAAAAAAAGAAAAATACCATGTATAATGCACATTAAATAATTTTTTCGCAGAACAATAAAAAGATACATACTGGAATTTCGGTTTATCCTTTGTAACAACGCCAACTTCAATTTCGGATGGCTTAAAATCCACAGACAAAACTGTAGAGAGACAAGTGATTGCTAACTGGATAGTTTCATCATAATCATAGTTTTGCTTCTTCTTCAACTTCTTCTCGAGATAAGAATTGGCTTCTGTTTGCTTAGAACCAGCGGACACTGCTCTATACCCGCAAAAGTAGCCAGCGGGGTCTGCTTTATAGATGCAGGGTCCCTTCTCCTCGTCATAGGCTATCAAAATCATAGAACATCCAAGGGGACGCATTTCTGCATTCTGCGTATAAACTTGACTAATATCAGCTACACGTCGACACAAGCAATCGATTGGCATTTCATAGTCGTTCTTGTACTTGAAGTTGGCAGCTTCATAACGGGCACGTTGAACTTGAGATTTACTGTCCGCTAAAAATTAGATATATTTTACAATTTTATATAATGTTCCAAAATAATCTTTCAACCTATACTCGAAAAAGTTTTTGGGCATGACTGAGTAATATTAAAAGAATTTTTTCAATTATTTTCAGTTACATAGTGAAATAAAAAAAAATGTTCAGTATAATATTTAACGTGAATAGTTTTGTTCAATAGGAACCAATTCTGTTTGAACATTACTCAGGCATGTTCTTCCTCTTACAATTAGTGTACTTATACGTATATATTTACCGATCATTCCAGTCATCAAGCAGCCGATGTATTCAGTAATTTGAAACAAGTGCGTTACACTTTGTGCATCGAGTAACTTATCCTAAAAATTAAAAAAATACTCTTTACAAATCAGTAATTCGATAGTATCGTTTAAGAAACCTACAGATTGTCAAATCAATTTTTAACTACTATCCTAAATTTAAATCAAAAGCAATTTAAAATTTCAAAGTTTATATTTGCGTTCTTTTCTTTTTCAAACCGATTTTAATCAAATAGAATAATTAGTTTACCAAAATTTGACATTTACAAACTTTATTTTAAAATGTTTTACGTAAACGAATTTACACTTAACAGAATTTCTAACTAGTTAAGTTTATAAATTGAAGAATTCTTGAGAATATAAACTCTTAAGATACTAAATTTTCATTTAACCATATTTTCTAATGTCCGAACGAACAACAAACAGAAATACCTATTTTAACTTGAATTTTTTAATTGAACAATCATAATAATATCTATTATTTCGAATTGGTCAATTTTAAGATTCGTGCTGAAATATTTTTATCGGTCATCTGTTCGGATATTAAAAATTTCAGTAACATAAAAATTCAGCGCATTGAGAATTTGATCTCATAATAGTTTGTAAATTTAAAAATTCGGTTTATTTTCTCTTACTGACGATTTCATCAGAGGACAGTCGAAATAAACACTCCGATAAAAATAAGTATGATGGACCAAGAAATGATTTTTTTGGAGTAACAATTGTTTGACTTTTACAAAATCTAATCTTTACAGTAAAAAAATTATTTTCTTTTCAACAAAAGTTTTTAAATTCTTGACGACTTTGGAAATTTCAAATAGTAAAACAAAAAATTATGAATTGAATGCTAATATATTAATGACTTTTTGCTTGAAACTCCAAACAAACATCGCACATATCAGTTAAATAATTTGCAAATAGAACTGAAGACACAACTCAAAAACATAAAGATACTTCCTGTATTTAATTTTTTGGAGCGAATTGAGAATTAATTGGTAAATCATATAAACAGTAAATAAATATTTTAGTATTTTTTTTACCGGAATTTTCTTTTGTGTGGCCACAACGGCAGTATCAACTCCCTTCACAGCAACGGAGGTGAGACCTCCTTGATTAATTGCCTTAAATGCATATTCTGTAAAAAACAAGTCATAAAATAGGTGAAACTGAAAAGTGCTAATCACCCGCAGTCATTCTCAGGTTATGTCGGTGACAATTCAAATTTAACATGACAATTAGTGAATAGTAAGGATTATTTTCTTCGAATCTTACCGACTTGATAAAGACGCCCTTCGGGAGAAAAGATGGTGATATGCCTGTCAAACCCAGCACTACTGGCCCTTGCCATTTTTTAAATAATCCTTGTTTTTGTTTAAAATTATTCTTGTTTGATGACTTGTGAAATGCCCAAATACTACAAAACCATAGACTATAAACACAACAGTTGCACCTTATGTCCTTGCATAGTTATCGGAGCTGTGAATATAGCTTAACGAAAATTGAATACGGAGAACATAAACTTCAATCCACAATAGACAAAAAATGTAAAAATAGAAGTATACTGTTCTCTTTCTCTCTCTCATTATTTAACGCAAAATGCAAAGTTGAACTCAAGTATGTAAAAAGAAAACAATATCTACCTATCTCTTTTGCACTTATGATTTTCTGCTCTCGGTCGACGTATTCTGCTTACTGAGAGAGAGAGAGAGAGAGAGAGAGAGAGAGAGAGAGAGAGAGAGAGAAGAAAAAGACATATGCTTCTGTGCACAGGTATAAACGCACCTTAAAATCACCTTTCAAAAAATCAAAAGTGCATTCAACTCTTCCCTTCCCTGTATTAATTTTTCCTATAAAGTTTGCATACCCTGAAATACCCATACCAACACATGTGTTGATATATTAAATTAGTAACAGTTAATTTAAAATATTTTAATAAAGTTTTAAAAATATTTCATCAAATGAACAAAAATGAATCAGTAAGCAGATATGGACCACTTATTGGTGCAATTGATGAAGGAACAAACAGTGTTCGATTTCTGGTAATGTACTTTTCAAATACTTGTTTTTTTAATTTCATTGAAATCATAACATCATCAATTAGGGATGTTCGTATTGATTTAAATTTTTATTTAAAAATATGTACATATTTATCGACTGTCATAGTGATTTAAGAATGATTCATTGTTTTTAAAGTAGTAGTGTGAATTATCAGGTTACCTATACATAGAAATTGTCAAGTAGAATTTCAAAAATTACTTTAATTTCGAACTTTCGATTTCATTATTATTTGATAGTCATTTTAATTTATATTAATGTAGATTTATTTTTTTTTATGTAGTGACTAGAATATTAGCTACATATTCAAATCCTAACGTTGGTTGTCAATTAAATTCTAAATTTTTTAAAACAAGAAATTAATTTTAATATGGGTCATTCTATGTAAAATTTTCACTAAAAATTTTTTTTCGAATTCAATATGAAAAATAAAGAAAAACCAGTTTTCTTATTTGAACAAAATTATTATTTTAATTATTATTATTTAATATAAATTTTATTATTATTATTATTATTTTAATTGTGGAAGTTATGATTTCTTTAAATTTGACGTCTTCAGAAGCAGAGGACTTTTGAAATCTTTTTTCTCTATTATATACCAAAAGATACAAAATACTACAGTATATGAAAATTATTTGTTTTTTCTTGTTTATTTCAAATATGTAATGAAAAATAACGTTAATAAAGCGAAAAATTTAATTGAAATATTACTTTGTATCTTTTGGTATAACAGAGAAAAAAAGTGATTCCAAAGTCCTCATCTGCTTCTGAAGACGTGTTTAAAAAATCACAACTTTCGTAATTTTGATCCAATAATAAAATAAAAAAAATGTACTTACTTGTTTTTAATATAAAAATTCGAAAAAATTGTTTTAATAAAAAAAATTTTTTGAGGGTAATTTTCACGAAGATGCCCCATATAATTTTTTCATCAAGAAAAATACTGTCAACTGAAACAGCTTTAATAGTGAAATTCTAAATAACACTTACGTTAAAAAAATAATTTACTGAACAGTTTCATAAATGATTTTAATTTTTAATTGCTTAATCCATTGAATTCATGTTCTAATAATAATAATAAAATAATAATAATCAATATGATTATTTAAGAAATGAAACACATTTTCTGGAAGTAATTTAATTTTTAGGTTTTTGCAGCAAACACTGCTGAAGTACTAACGTATCATCAAGTTTCAATATCCAAGTCATATCCGAAAGAAGGATGGGTTGAACAAAATCCAATGGAAATATTGGGCGCAGTAGTGGAGTGCTTAAATAAAACTGTAGATAATTTACATCAGCTTAGTATAGATTCGGCTGACATCATTGCTATTGGAATAGCGAACCAAAGAGAAACAACAATAGTATGGGATTCTATTACCGGTCAACCTTTGCACAATGCAATTGGTAATAAATTGTTTTTATATTTATGAATATGATACACCCTAAAAATGTAATCTGCATTCGTACTGATAAATTGAAAAAAATTAAAGGCCCCAAAATTCAGGAAAATTGCAACATTGCTCCAATTCATATTTGTCGCAAAGCAGGATTCACCGAAGCTCTTTGTGAATATTTTAAGTTTTGAGTGGCACATTTCAGAAATACTTAGTCATATGAAAGGGCATTTATATTGTAAGCCCGTACAATGTTTGAGTAAATAAATATACTTCTTTTTCTAGTTTGGATGGATATGCGCACAACAAATATTGTGGATGAAATATTAAAAGGAGTTCGAAACAATATAAACTATCTTAAACCTTTATGTGGCCTTCCAATTAGTCCTTATTTTAGTGCGTTAAAACTAAAGTGGTTACTGGATAATGATGCCTCAGTTCAACTTGCTGTGAAGGAGAAACGATGCATGTTTGGTACAGTTGATTCCTGGCTTATTTGGGTTCGTAGTACTTTCAACTACTGTATTTTATCCACTCATTATCTTCCATTCATTTAATTTAAGAAAATACTTTTTAATTTTCTAAGTCTTTTGGAAAATTAATACAGACAATTACACTACAGTTGAGAATTATCGGTACGGCTTCACGCACACAGTCCAAAAACATACCAATCTTTAAATCACGATTTTTTTGTTAAAACAAATGTCAGAAAATCAACAAATCTGTTCTTTATCATAAGACTTAATAAGAACTAGCAACAATTCGCGCGGCTAACTTCTTACTGTCTTTTTTTAAATAAAATTAGCAATTTTAAAAATAATAGAATTTGAAAACTTTCTAATTCAAATTTTTGTTGAAAACACTAAAAAAATTCAATTTTGGAGAAATTACAAATAATTGCAGAAATTCAATTATTTAAAAAAAAAATTAAATTCTTCTTATAAAATTCAACCATGTTCACAATTTTTAAAAAATTCTCGTAAAAATCCCAATTATCTTTATAAGTAACAAAATTCTTCTCCAAAGTTTAATTATTTTCCTAAATGTCAAAAAAATTCTTGTCCTAATATCAATTATTTTCAAAAGTAAAATGCTTTTTTCTAATTTCAATGATTTTCAATATCTACTAATTTAATAAAATTTCCCTAAAAATTAAATTATTTAAAAAAAATTTTAATAAAATTGTATGCAAACATTTAATTATTCTCATAAATAATAAAAATTTCAGAGGAATTCAATTATTATTTTTATAAATAATAAATTTTTTTAAGGAATTCAATTATTTTCATAAAAAATAATTTTAAATTCTAGAGAATAATAATTGAATTAAAATGATGAAAATAATTTTGATGAAGTTACAGTTACAATATTCTTATAATAATATAAAATAATGATTTTATCTCTCGTTCATTTTTTAATTATTAGAAAACATGAAGAAATCGATCACTCCGAGTCTTCGACTCGGAGCAATCGATATCTTCATATTTTATAACAAATACTTTTATAAGTTTAATTTAAAAAAGATTTGAATTCGAAATTTTTGAATGTCTTAATTCCTGTGGAAAATCCTGTTCCAAAAATAAGATTTAAAAAATAGGAATTTTGCAAATTGTGATTCATAAACAAAAATAATGCAAAATAAATTGCATTATTATTAACTTTTTTATAATTTTTCTTTTCAAATATTTTCAATTTTAAAATTAATATATTGAAAATCATCGAATTGTTGCAAAGAATGTTATCAAAAAATTTGATGATAATAGAATTCCTTCAAAGAATTTTATTAAAATTTTTTAAAATCCTAATTAAATTCTTTTGAAGAATTTCTTTGAACTTTTTTTTTTAATTAATGAAGTTTCTTTAATAATTTTAATTTGAAAATTTTGAAAGCATTTGAATTTTATGAAGAAGAATTTTATTAAAAGTGAATTGAAAATAATTAAATTCTTGCGGAGAATTTTACTAATATTTATAAAAATTGTTTCGAAGAATTTATTAACATTTTTGGACATAATTGAAATTTATGGAAATATTTTTAAATATTTGAATTCATCCGAGGAATTCAATTAAAATTGTTTTAAAAATCATTGGATTTTTGTAAAGATTTTACTATTGAAAAAAATAATTGAATATTGTTTAGAAAGATTTTACTATTTATAAAAAATAATTAAAATGTTTCGCGAGAATTTTTTAAAAATATTTTGAGAATAATTGAATTATTTTTAGAGAATTTTAAATTCTTTTTGAAATTGTATTTTATGGGAATTTTTGAAAATAATTAAATTCTTTCATGTAATTTTATTTAAATTTGATTAAAAATAATTTAATTCTTGTGAAGAATTTTACTATTTATAAAAATAATTGAACTTTTTCGAAGGATTTATTAAAATTTTAGAAAATATGAACAGTAATAATTAATTTTCTACTTAATAAGTGAATTTTTTAAATTTTGATTATGAAATTATTTTAAAAATTTATATTTGAAGATTAAAAGTATTAATTTGTAATTTGCATAACAATAATAAATTGAATATCACGTTCCGCGCGTAAAATTTTCTAGTAATAATATAATATACAATTCATCTAAAGATAACAAAAACAAAAATATAAATAGAAGACAACTTCAGAGTGTGAGGGACAGAAAAAGTGAATGAATGAAAGAATGAAAGAACATTCAAATTAATATAGTTAATTATTGACGTCATTAAATAATTATTATCTTTTATTGTCTTCAGAATTTAACAGGAGGCATCAATGGTGGCGCCCACAGTACAGATGTTACTAATGCATCTAGAACTATGTTAATGAATATTTCTACGTTAAAGTGGGATTCTAAATTACTGGACTTTTTTAAAATACCATTTGAAATTTTACCACAAATTCGAAGCTCATCCGAAATTTATGGCCATATTCACGATGGAGTATTACGAGGTGTGCCGATTTCAGGGGTTTGTAATACTTTTATATTTTTAATTGTGTAAATTACTTAATTCTTTAAGTAAGCCGTTAATTAATAGGAGCTTTAAAAATTCTCTAGAATTTGTTGTTATTTTATTATTATTAATATCAGTAATTTAGAGTAAATTGTTGGGCTAACATTTCCCATTATTAAACTTATAAATACGACAATTTATCTGTATTTAAGTTTCTTATACAGTTCTATTAACTCGGCAAAAATTGCTGTATAATCGGTATGATATTAATCCGCTAATTATCACTATTGATAAATATCTTCCTAATAAAGTTACAAAATACGCCATCCAAGTAACTAATTTATTTATTTTTAGTGCTTAGGTGATCAACAATCAGCTTTAGTCGGACAAATGTGCTTCAGACGGGGTCAAGCGAAAAGTACTTATGGCACTGGTTGCTTTGTACTTTATAATACAGGGACTGCGGTAAGAATTTTTAATATTATTTCCATATACCGCAATCCCACCAATCAAAAATTGTTTCCATTAATTTAAAAATTTATAACGAAAAGCATAAGAAAGAAAACATTATTTTTAGATTGTAGATTCAAACCATGGTCTATTGACGACAGTTGCCTATCAATTAGGACCTCAATCACCCCCCATTTACGCTTTGGAGGGCTCAGTAGCGATGGCAGGAGAAGTTATACAGTGGTTGAAGGAAAAGTTAGAAATCATTTCCGATGTAAAGGAGTCTGAAGCTGTTGCAAACCAGTTACCATTTGATAATCGAATAGTATTCGTACCTGCATTTTCCGGATTATATGCACCATATTGGCGAAAAGATGCACGTAGGTTAGTATTTTTTTTACCTATAATATTATAATATTACGTATAATACGAAAATAAAACTTTAATTGTAAGAAAAATATAAAAATGTTGTTAAAGCAACCAATAACGTTGTTAATGATGATCATATTCTCCTACTATGTGGTTGTAAATGATTCTTTCCAAAGTAATCTTTCACATGTTAATAATTATAAAAATTGTGATTCAGTGCTGATTTTGTATTAATATGATATTTATTTAATACTATGTTTTTTAAATCCGTTATTGTAACAATGAAGGAAATATGGAATTAAGATTCATCTCACGTTTCCATTCAGCTTTTCTTTCTTCATTTCCTAACGCAAATTTTCTGATTCTCGAGTAAAAACGGGTTAAGGAACCTTGAGTGCGGTTAATACTTGAACAAAAGTGACCGCATTGGAACGCGTTATAACCTTGATTACATTGTTTGTGCATTTGTGACATTTATTTAATTGAACATTCATGACTCTACAATCATGAAGCTGTTGTACTTGGAAGAATTTTTTCCCGCAATTTTCTTCTTCCCTGGATAACCTATTAACGCCCGACTTTTCTTTAAAAAAGTGCCTTTTGAAAAGTGTCTTTTGTATTTAGGGGTTTTTGGGTCGCTGATTACGAACATGAAATCAGTTTTTCAAAATTCAAAATGGCTGATCCAATGCGGCGGATGATTTTTCTAAAAATTCATTGAATTTGCTTAAAAATTGTTACTAGCGGGTTTTCAAGGTCGCTAGTTACGAATATTAAATCACTTTTTCAAAAAAACCCTCGGAAATATATTTTTATAAAATTTTAATAAGTTTTTAAAATTCGTCCTCCATATTGGATCCGCCATTTTGGATTTTGTAAAACTGACATCGGATTTGTAATCAGCGACCCCAAAAAACTCCGAGTAACAAGTTTCAAACGAATGCGATCAATTTTTAAAAATTCGTTCGTCATATTGGATCCGTCATTTTGAATTTTGAATAATTCCTGCAAAACTTGAAAGTGTGTATATGACCGTTTAGAAAAATAAGAGGTCAAACTTGACGATATCCAATAAATAAACATATCGGTTTCACAATTATTCTCGACAATTTCGAGAAGACGAAATGGTTCCTTTATGATTTTTGGCTTTTTGTTGATTACGATTTTCAAGTCAAACTGTAAAATTCAAAATGGTGGACCCAATATGGCGGACGAGTTTAGTCGAAAGTCATCGGATCCACTTGAAACTCGTTACTCGGGGGTTTTCGGGGTCACTAATTACGAATTTGATGTCAGATTTCAAAAATTAAAAACAATGGATCCAGTGTTTCGTATAAATTCATAGGCAAAAGTAATAACAAATTGAGCATGCAAAAGCAACATTGAATCCACCATTTTGAATTTTTATAGTTCGACTTTAGATTCGTAATCAGCAACCAATAATTTTAAAGGAACCATTTTGTCTTTTTTTTAAACATTATTAGTCGAGTATAACTGAGATCGCTAGGAATATTTTTTTATTAAACGTGGTCAACTTTGTCCCCCCTACATTTCCTATGTGGGGCATACCCTTACCTTAAAATTGTGCAGGGATTATTGGGCCATCTTGTGTGACTATTCGGCATAAAAAAGATTTTAAAATGAAAGGTGCGAAAAATGGGCATTTTTTCCAAGGTTCTTTAAATTTTAATGATTATACCGTAGGTTAACTAACTACTTATATGTATAATGTTTGTTAACCATAGTCACATTGTACATAATTGTTATAGTATCATATGCGGCATCACTGAGGAAACAACAAGTGCACAAATAGTGAGAGCAGCTTTACAAGCTATATGCTTACAAACAAAGGACATTTTAGAATCTATAAGAAAAGACACCGGATTATTATTAACAAAGTTACTAGTCGATGGGGCCATGACTGCCAATAATTTATTAATGCAAATGCAAGCTGATGTATGTGGTATCCCAGTAGGTAAGAATTATATGAAATACTAGCTTGAGCACTAATAGATTAGTATTTATTTTGTCCATTTATTTCTTTTCTACTATTTATGCAGAATGCAACCTTGTCACTTAAGCAGGCAGTATTTTTATTGAAGAATAAGATAAATGCTAATTTGTTATTTTTTATTTAGGATTAGAAAAATGTTAAAGTCGTTAATATCAATATAATAGTATTGGTTAATTCTAATTAACATGAATTGTTTAAGCTAGTGAGGCCTTTGATGTGTGACACTACAGCTCTTGGTGCTGCAATCGCCGCAGGCAGAGCAGAAGGCATTCGTAAATGGGATGTGAGATCCAATATCGCAGTACCTAGCGATTCATTTTTCCCGTCTATATCGGACAACGGTAATTTCAACGTTTTACATACTTTTAAGTGAACAACAGTAGATGCACTGAAAAAAATAAAATCTGCTTTTTATTTTTTTCACTCTTCGAGAACACATGGGATCAGTCTGATAAGTCATTTTGAATTAAAAGACGATCAAATTTGTTCTAATGTGGATGGAAGCAATAACATTATAGTCAAATTTTCATGCCCCAAAGCCTCAAAATATTTCATTAACTTTAGAAATCTCTTAAAATTTTGTTTTGGTCACAATGTTATTTTTGGATTAACATGTAAATAAGTAAAGAATTTTTTCTTCTGCAGAACGTGATATGCTTTACTCGCAATGGAAAATGGCTGTTAAACGAAGTTTAGAATGGGAGTCTTTAGAAGAGTTACATGGTAAGTTAAACTCCATTTACACAATATACCCCACTTACTCCCAAACATTAAACAAAACGTTGCGCGCGCATAGTTTTGATACTTCTGATAATGAAGTGGATTTCAAAAAAGGCATTTTAACCACTGTCAATCGAAAGAGTATTAGGCGTTCATAATATTTTGAAAACGATGAGCGGAATACTGTAGTAATAAATCATCAGCCGCATCATAACTTAGGTCCAAAAACGGCAATAACGATGATTATTTAAATCTTGTCCTCATTCCACTGCCAATTGAAAGAGCATTAAAAATGAGTATTAGGCGTTCATAATATTTTGAAAAGGGTGAGTGGAAGACGGCTGTTTGTTTTTATTACATAGATATTAGTTTATTATTAAATATGTATATCAGGAACTATTTTTTGTCCAAAGAAAGTAGAAATAGTGTTAGTAAAAAGTTAAAAAAAATCAGGGAATTTTATTCTTAATCCTTGTTAGACACGGATTAAGTTTATTTTGTAATATATAATAAAATTAATAATCTAATAAGCATTATTTTTTTAGATGATAATGAAGACCTTCACAAGTTAACCGCAACAGGACTTTTTGTAATTGGAACGATGATTGTTCTTATGGTTGCTAAGTATCGATCAATTACTTGATTATAGTTTTTAAATAGAAGCTAAATAATAAATGATTAGATACATTTATGTATTTAAGAAAACATTTAAAAATATTTAATTTAAAACTAGATACTCATAAAATTTTTATTAATTTTACTGTACTACGTTTATAGTTTATACCTGTTAAAAGAGATTGTTATGAAATATAATTACATAATAACAATACTTTTTAAAAAAAACTTTGTCTTTTCTACTTTTTTGAAAAATGGTTTTTTTATTTTTGAGAATGTTTAAATATTTATAGTATCAAGTATAAGAACTTTCTACTAGTTGTTTTGATATTATTACTGAACAATTTTATATTTATTGTGTATGTACTTATTATATTTAGGGCCAGTTTCACCAACTCCGATTAAAAGTTAATCAATGATTAAAGTCAGTTAACCGCTCATGATTGGTCGGTTAAGGATTTAATCATTGATTAACTTTTAATCGGAGCACAGTAAATCGTGAGGTATTAAAAAGTGTTGCAGATTAAATTAACACCAAAAAAGATTAAAATAATCAATTTTGGTGTTATTTTTTATAATGAATGAAATTTTAGTTTATTACATTTTTTTATAACTATAAAACATGAAGATATCGATAACTCCGAGTCTTCGATTTCTTCATATTTTATAATAATTAAAGATGACCAAGTAATAAAATCATTATTTTATATTATAAGAATATTATACTTCTTCAAAATCATTTTCATTACTTCAATTCAATTATTATTTTCAAAAATTTTTAACTACAATTTTACTTATTATTTTTAATAATTTTCGAAAAAGTTCTTTGGCAATTTTCAAATAAATTTGTTTACAGTATTCAATTTCACGAAATTTCAATTATTCCTAAATTCTTGAATTAAATGCATATTAGAAAATAAAAACTTCAAATAATATAAAAGAAAATTGAATTCAACTTTTTCAAAAAAATTAATTTCAAAATTCAATTATTTCTAGAAATTCACGCTCTATTGCTTTTAATATTTAATTATAATCTAAAATTTTAACTGAAATTCATTTTTATGAAATGAAAATCAATTTTTATTAGAAAATTCTACAAGAATTTAATTATTTAAATGCAAAAGTAAATTATTTATTGAATAATTTAATGTTTCTCAAAATTCAATTCTCATAAAGAATTTTAGTAACAAATTTTTATATAATTGAATTCTTTTTCTCGAATTTTATTAAAACTTTCATGAACATAATTACTTTTTTCAAGGAATTCAATTATAATTGTATGAAAAATAATTGAAATGCTGCGATGAGTTTTATGAGAATTTTCAAATTCATTCGTTTACAATTCAATTTTACAAAATTTCAATTATTCGAAAATTCTGCAATGAAATATATATTGAAAAATAAAAACTTGAAATAATTTCAATAAAAATCCTGTTAAACTTTAAAAAAGAATTAATTCTACAGAATTTTTTGTCAAAAATATGAAAAATTAAGAATTTCAATGATTTTAGTTTGCAACTTTTTCAAAATTTAATTATTTATAAAAATCCACGTTATAATGCTTTTAATATTTAATTATAATCTAAAGTTTTAACTGAAATTCATTTTTATGAAATGAAAAACCATTTTTATTAGTAAATTCTACGAGAATTCAATTATTTAAATACAAAAATAAATCATTTATTAATTTCATGTTTCTTGAAATTAAATTTTCATAAAAAATGTTATCAACAAATTTTTTAAATCATTAAATTCTTTGGACGAATTTTAATAAAATTTTTAAGAATAATTACATTTTTCGAGGAATTCGTTTAAAATTGCATTAAAAATCATTGAAATTATGCAATGATTTTTATTATTTATGAAAATAATTGAATCCCTAAAAGAATTTTATTATTTATAAAAATAATTGAATCCCTGTAAAAATATTATTTATGAAAATAATTGAATTATTGCGAAGAAATTTATAAAAAAAATTTGTAAATAATTGAATTCCTGTAAAAATTTTTATTATTCATGAAAATAATTGAATGTTTGCTTAGAATTTTATTCAAATTTTTTTTAATAATGGAATTCTTTTGTAAAATTTTATTTTAATAGTAGATATTGAAAATCATTGAATTTTAGAGAACTTTTGAAAATAATTGAAATTTTGATATGAATTTGATTAAAGTTTTGTAAAATTATTGAATATCAGAGAAAAATTTTATTATTTATAAAGAGAAGTGAAATTTTGACGAGAATTTTAAAAAATTTTTGAACACAATTGAATTTAGTAACTATTTTACTAAGTTAGTTAGTAAGTTAGTAACTAAGTTAATAGCTAACTTACTATTCTCCCTGAAGAAGCTGAATTCGTTGAATTTTTACAAATCGTTGACTTTGGTGTTTTATTTAAAGTAAAATTTCATTCATAGTTAAAAATAACACAAGAACATATTATTTTAATTCTTTTTGGTGTTAATTTAATCCTAGAGGGATTAAACTATTGCAGATTATTTTAATCCACTCTGGTGTTATTTTAACACTTCACGTTTTACTGTGAATTGGTGAAACTGACCCATATTGTATGTATTTCGTGTATGTTTAGTCTCTTTTGATCCTGCTCTTTGTAAAAGATACAGAAAAGTGAAAAAAAATTTCTAATTGAAGATATATCACCCCTTTCTAAAGGGTGTCTTGCACGTGTCATAATTTTCACCAATGGTATTAAATGTCAAGCATATATTTTCTTAAGTCGAGGGTGAAATAGGTAGAAAAATAATCTTCCCCCTTTTATAAATATCTATAGGTACATACATTCTTTTACATATAAAATTTAGATATAGTCACGAAGACGTGACAGTACATTAATTTATATTAATGTACAAAAAACAGTTTTTATATTAGCATAGACGCCACAAGTGGGGCAGAATCGTGAAAACATGCCGAAAGCAAAAATATTCTTCGATTTATATAAAATTTGGTAATCACATGTTTTTGAGGTCAGTTTTCAAAAATTCAAAATGGCGGATCAATTTTTTTAAAAGTTAACGGTTTTTTATAGAAGTTAGTTATAGAGGGTTTTTGAGGTCGCTGATTACGAATTTGAAGTCAGTTTACCATAATGCAAAATGGCGGATAAATTTTTTAAGAAGTTATGATTTTCATAATTGTTATTATTTTATAAAGACACCTGATTAGTCAAAATCATGGTCGTTTATTTCGAATTGAAAAAATTGAAAATGTAATTCCACCTTGGATTAAATCCTTATAAAGCAGATTTCTTTTTTCATCTTATTTTATTTTTACAAATATCGTGTCTTTCTGCGTACAACCATTACAATGTCAACCATGTATCTGAACGTATGTCTTCAACAGTCAAGCGAGTACGTTGAGGAACTAATAAGCGCGAAATTAAAAGTCGACAAGCTTCTGTAACTGCAGGTTCTTTGGGAAAATTTACCTTCTTTTGTACCTGCTAATATTTTTTTTTTATTCATTTGTCATTAAAATATATAAATTTTATTATACTTATGAGATTCGTAGAAAAAATGATTTTCAGTTGTTAGTCAAAAAAACTAATACCTTCTCATGTGATGAGATGGTAATAAATTGCAAATAAGTATAAACCTTTAAAAGTTGATTGAAATTTGTATCGTCAAACGGTAATCGGCCAAAGACCATAGCAAAAAGTACAACTCCCATTGACCAGACGTCGGATAATTGAGGTTGATATGGAATTGCTTTAAGTATCTCTGGTGAAGCGTAAGCATAACTTCCACAAAATGTTTCGCTTAATAAAGGCACTCCGCTTTTAGATTTCATTTGACCTCGAGCAAATCCAAAATCTGACAATTTCATGACATAGTTTTGAGTCATTAAAAGGTTTTCGCACTTGATGTCTCTACAAAATATTTCAATTTAAAAAAAGAGAGAGGAGGTAATATCAAGACGTCAGAGGTGAACTTTCCCTTATTATTGCACTGGTTTACAGTGAAATTGCAAATCGAATAAAACATTTTTTTCCGATTAGTAGATGTTTTTTGAGTAAGAAATCATAGTTTTAATTTGCTGTAGCTGCAAATTTTGCATTTTTGAGATACGACATCACTTAAACTTACCTGTAGAAAAATTATCTTGTCAAAATATAATAAATAAGGTGCCATTGGAAAGGTAATTAAATTGCCTTTCGATCCATAGATCATAGAATAAAATTCAACGAAAATTGAGGGAGTTACCGTTTCCGGAATCGCTGATTTTGAATCCAATATTAGCTTTTAAAATTTCAAAATGGCGGATCCAATATGGCCGACAGGTTTTTAAAAATCGAACAAATTCCTCTTAAATTCGTTACTTGGGTGTTTTCGGGGTCGTTGATTACGAATTCGATGTCAGATTTCGAAAATATAAAAAGTGGATTCAATAGATGAGCATTCGATCGATTTTTAGAAAACTCGTCCACCATTTTCAATTTTCGAAATCTAACATCGGATTCGTAATCTCAGCGACCTCAAAAACACCCAAGTAACAAATTTAAGAGGAATTCGTTCGATTTTTAAAAACCTGTCCGCCATATTGGATCCGACATTTTGAAATTTTTAAAACTGATTTTAACAAAATTTGCAGCTATACAACAAAACTACACGAGGAAAAAAATTAAAACTATGATTTTCTTACTCAAAAAACACCTAGTAATCGGAAAAAAAAATGTTTTGTTCGATTGTCAAAAAAAATTTTTTAATTTGTAAACCTGTGTTGTGAATAGCAAGTAATTTTACTTATCACTATTACCTGTGAACAACTCCGCGGTTATGGCAATAATAAACTGCCTCCACTAATTCGTTAAACCATTGGCGACTCCGTATTTCGTCAATCTGCTTATCGCGTCTTATGATATCGAGCAAACTACCGTTTTGGGCATATTCCATGATAATATACACCCTACAAAGTGTAATTTAGGACATAAGAAAGGTATATCCTGAAATGTTGTTAATTCAGATAATGTTGATGGAAAATGTTAATGAAAGTTTAGTGTAAATTAAAAGCATTGACGCCCTGAATTATGAGAATGGCGATCACGATAAAAAATGTAAAACGTGGAATCCAACGGTCTTTTTCTCTGAATGTTTAATTTACTACAATCAGTTTTGCAAGTTAACAGGATCCCTAAAATAAAAAAATTTTTTAATAAATTCAGATATTTATTTGTTGATGTTTATTAAAAAATTCATTTTTATAAATTTTTATTTTATACTTCGTCATTGAAAACCTTGTATTTTTCAAAGATGATTTTTTGTATTCATTTCAATATTTTTCGACCACAAATTCAAAAATGTTATTCTTTTAAAAGCGTCTCAATGTGTGAGTGCTGACATTAGTATTGGCATGCATTTCCGAAATTATAAATAAAGTTAAAATGTTACCAATTTTCAAGTTGCCGTTTAAAAGCACGCTGCAAAAGGAAAGCGTTCAGAATAAGCAAAGAATATTTTTAATAACACGGTATTTTATAATTTAATCGTTTTAACTTTATTTTCATAAATTTTAGTATTTATAGTTTAAATTTATTACAAGACATCCATGCTTTTAATTTGTATTGTGAATAATGTTAATAAAATTTTAGTTCAAACGCGAGATAAATAACTGGTTGAATTGCCAACTTGAACATACTTGTTACTAATCATATAAAAAAGAAGTTTTATTTTCATTAATATACTATCAAGTTAAAAATTGAAAGAACAAACCGATGAGTAGTTTCAATTGCCTGCAGAAATCGAATTAAATTCAAATGCTTTAAGCCTCGAATAACTTCAATTTCACGGGGTAAAAATTTCTTTAAATAATCTCCAGGAGCTTGAAACTTTGATATGATTTTAACAGCAACTAACGAATCATGTTTCTCTGACTTTGCAACCTGTTTGAAGCAATTAAATTGATAATTATCGATTTGGAATATTTCTTGTCAAAAACATTATTTTTGGTAGTACCAGGCCTCGAATATTATGACATTATGACATTTTTTTGCAAAAAATGAAAACATTCATTTATTCAATAAATTATTAATTTTTGTATTTAAATAATTGAATTCCAGTAGAATTTTCTAATGAAAATTGATTTAAAAATGAATTTCAGTTACAGTTTTACATAATAATTGAATATTAAAGGCATTATAGCATGAATTTTCAAAAATAATTGAATTTTGAATATTTTTGAAAATAATTACATTTTTTGAAGAATTTACTTAAAATTATATAGAAAATAATTGAAATCCTGTAAAGAATTGTATTATTTATGAAAATAATTTAATTCTTGCAACGAATTTTATTACCCTTTTTTAAAATAATAGAATTCTTTTGAGAAACTTTTTTAAAGTAGTAGATTTTGAAAATATTTGAATTTTGAGCGAAGAATTTCATTATTTGTGAAATGTAATTGAATTCTTGCAAAAAATTTTTGAAAATAATTACATTTTTCGAGGAATTTATTTATAATTGTATTAGAAATAATAATTGAAATCGTATGAAAATTTTTTGAATATAATTTAATTCTTACAACGAATTTTATTACATTTTTTTAAATAATTGAATTCTTGGGGAGGATTTTATAAAAATTTTTGTGAATAATTTAATTTTTTTTTGAAAAATTATATTGACATTTAAATTATTATAAGTTGTTAATTTTCTGAAAGATTTGAATTTAAAATTTTTTTAAAATATTAATTCCTAAAGAATATTCATGGAAAATGTAAGGTAGCCAAAAGCCCTAAATTATCAATGCAGTAAGTACTTTTTGTTTAATAAACAAATGAACATGATAATTTTAACTTAACCAAAAAATAATACATTTTTCCTGAGGGTATTTATACAATAATCTTTTTTTCATCGACACGAACAAAATGAACTGTCAAATAAACGATGATTATATACTTATAAACCGAAAAAAATTTCTTTTTATTGGGAAACTTTTATTATTTAATCTAAAAATTAAAGTTAATCGGGGGTAACCGTCATCTATAAAAAAGGGTTAATTTTTTATAGTATCTATTAGTGGGCATTGTAATTTTTCGTTATTTTGAAAACGTTGCGAATTGCGACATCATAAATCGTATTATATATAAAAAGTAAAAAATTGTTGACGAAAAACGAAACTTTACATCGATGCATGATGGCAATGAAAGGTCTCCAGACCCTCGATGCAAAATCACCTAAATGCTCGATAGAATAATCTTCCACATGAGATCATTAACAAACTACGTCATCCTTCTAGGGAGCAGGGGTCAAGCTGTCTGTGATATTGAAATTTGGAAAAAGACGATTTACATATAAAACTTTATAAATATGTGTGAGGAGTCTAAAAGGTCCGAAAAGGAAAGACAGCTTGTGAGCGACACCTTACAGAACAATAAACTTCCTTGTTTTTGAAATATTTCTTATTGTAGGGAAAAGCCATTGTTTTCATAAACTTTTCGTATTGACAAAGGTATTTAATTTTATTGATTCTTTTTTACTAGTAGGTATATTTTAAAAAAAGCTTCTCTCTATCTTTGTTCACTAGAAAACTGTTTCTAGATTATTACTAATTATTATGTCAAAAATAAAATGATAATTATTTAAATAATAAAAATCGTTCTAACCTTAACGGTGGCATACGATCCGGAACCAATTATTTTTCCCAATGTGTAACCATGTGATTGAAGTACGGTTATCTTCTGTTCTGCCAAGAATTCATCATTTTCATTAACAGATTCTTTGAACTCAGTTTTATTTTCGGATTTGGATTTTCTAAAAAGTACGCTTGCCATACATATAAGTATAAACAAACGTTGAATAAATTTGTAAAGAACAAGTATTATATTTTCTTCCATTCATTTAATAGTATAATTTTCCAAAAAGATGCAAATAAAATGTTGTAATAGCAAAAAACTACAGTGATATACAGCTGAAAATGACACCTGAAGAGAGGCTATTAATAAAATAACACAAAAGCTGCACAAAAGCTGAACATCACGTATGAGACGTCACAATTTGGTTAAGGACATTTTCTTAAAACTATTTCTAAAATCTGATGCGATTCTTAGATAGAAGCAGATTTAAGTTGAAGATTCTGGTGAGAATTTAACATTTCGATTATGACACTCATTCATACGCCTCGATAAAAAAAGTAATATCTATTCCTATACTACTAAGTCTTATTGTCTAAAATAAATCAAGTTTTTCAAATTCGTTAGACCACATTTTTTAAAGCGTAATATCAATAAAAAAGGAATGAAAATATTTATATTATTAATATTTACCCAAAGAGAAATTGTCAATCAATTTGACGTCAATTTTTACTATTATAATCAATAATAAATTTTTTTAAAAATTTGACAATTTTGTTTAAATTGTTAATTAGTTGTAATTTATATTATTATTATATTTTATTATATTAATATTTACTTGTATATTAGATTTTATGCATTTTTTTATTAAATTTAAATTTTTGTCAAATTGACATTAAATTGAGGTCAATTTGATGAAAGTCAAAATTTCCCATTTTAATGATGAAATGAATAGAAAATTGGATAAATTAATAATAATATTTGTTAAAACTTAAAAATGTCAAAATAAAAATTTTTTTTATAAATTCATTAAATTTTGTTTTTTAACTAAATAGTAATTACTTTAACTATTATTCACTCTACAGGTCTCGGTAGAATTTCATAAAAGTTTTTAAAAATCAAATAAATTTATTCTCGCCTAAAAACAATCAGGTGTAATTTCTAGGGTTAAACTTTGTTCTTCAACCAAAAAATAATTACATTAACTATTACTCACTTTATAGGTCACGGTTAAAGTATTTCATAAAAATGTTTGAAAATTGAAGTTTGAAGAATTTTAATTTCAAATTCAAAAAATAATTAAATTTTCAAAAGCTTTAATAATTTTCGTCAATTCGAGTAATCAAATAATTGATGAGCCATTTCTCTTTGGGTAAGTAAAAAAATTGTAGTTTTAATTTTTTGATGTGAAGAAAATGTTAAATAAAAAAAATATAATAATGTTGATAGAATAATGACATTAATAAAATATTATTGATTTTATGGATGGAGCAAGTGCCCTTTTTAATATTGGGTATAAAAATAAAAATTTCTACTCACAAACTATTAATTTATGTAATTTTTCATCATTACTATTTAGAAATGTCATATAGAAAGTGAATTGTAATACATTAATGTATAATATTCAAAATAACTTAAGATAATTCTTATGAAAAGTAATAAATTTAAAAGAAGATCATGTAATATAGCAATGATAATAAAGTTTGATTAATTTTCTTTTTTAATATAATGTATAATATTACATCTCTGAAGGCCAATTCATGTTTTCATCAATAAACAATAAATTGCAGAGAATCATTTTTTGAAGAAAATAAGCTAAGTTACATTAAAATTGAATAATCATTTTTAAAAAATTCTAAAGAAGCGATATAACAACAACTTTTTTTAATCTATATACAATTTCGTCAGTTATTCACACAAATATTCATATGCAAAAACAAAATTTTTGAATATCTACATAAAAAAATAGTATTAGAAAAATGGTATCGGATAATCCAGATTGGCTTCGTCTTATGATATTGACGCTGATATTATAGAGACCTGGGATAAAGCGAGCTTTGATAACCAGGATTTCATTGTACCACGATTTTTTAAATTTATCCTTTAAGAAGATAATAATTCGAAAAGAATGAATATAGTTATTTTCATACCTGATGCAAAAAGAAGGTGATTTGTGGGAAGGGTGCTTCAGGTCTCCCGCCGTTTTAATTAAATTTCGCCCGATACTTTTGAGCCCGTTATTGCGAATATAATTTTTTGTCCTCCCTGCGGGACGCATATGGAAATTCTCCACACTGAACTTAGAATAATTTTAGTGGTGTTAAATTTCACATTATATATAGGATTTTTATTAAGGGGGGAAACTCGTGTAAAATGAAATTTTTTTATAATTTTTTTTTTTCTTTAAAAATTTGTTTACTATCTGTAAACTATCTGTAAGACCTTAAATGCTAATGCTAATAATAATAATAGTAATAAAATTTTATTAATTGTCAATAGTAAGCACTATTAGTAAGTAATAGTAAACTTTGGTGTTAGTGCAATAGTTATTATTCTTGATATAGCTGACTAAACGTTAAAAGCTGTAAGTCCCTTTAAACACTACTTTTTTTGTATCAAAAATTCAAACGCGATTTTCTCAAAACGTATTTTTTCGCACGCCGTGCATTGTAGCTCAGCCAATTTTCAACCGATTTTCATGAAACTTACCAGAAAATCTTCTTAAGATTATTTCAAATTTTTTTAATTTTTCTGGTCCAAGTTTGACGACCTGCATTTTCTAAGAAAAAAAATTACACGTTAATGCCTATAAGTAATTCTCATTCTGTAAAAAATTACCTTTAAAATAAGCTTAAGATCATTAAAAAGCGTTCATTATTTTATAAATTATTCAAATTCTTGTAAAATTTATATTGTAAACGTTTTATTTATTTTTTATATGTTTTAAATTATGTCGTATGTGTTTTTGAAAGTAATTTGTTTATGTTGACATAGTTGCAATATGATAAAGTTTTAGTATATATTCAGGTATTATTAATTTTATACATATATATATGTCTTATTATGGTGTTTCGTTGTAATATTATTAAATAAATTTAGCCTGATGAAGACAGTGAACCAAAGGTGGGCACCGTTAACCTAAAAATTAACGTCGTTAATCGTTAATTCGTTAAGTGAAAAAGTTAACTTCGTTAAGGTTGAGTCCACAATAGCACTCTTGAACGGAACGTAAACGAAACGAAACAATGCTAAGTATATTGTTTCATTACGTTTACATCCCGTTCAAAAGTGATATTGTGGACTCAACCTAATAGTTAATCCGTTTACGAACAAGAAAATTAACGGAAGTTAACGTTAACCGTTAAAGTTAACATAAATTTAAAAAAATTCGTAATTGCATTCTAATGTACAAAAAAACAAGTGTTCTTTTTCATTAATTTTTATTTTTTTACATCAAATCTAAGAGACACATGTTTCCTTTCATAAACAACTAAAGTTTCGACAAAATATTTTTATTATGATACCCTGCTAAAAATAAAATCAGGAATAATAAGAAAACGTCAGAAAATTTGATGTTTTGTGACTACTTTAACGTTTTCTGAAGCTTTTGGTTAATTCTGACTAAAGGGTTTTTTATGCTCCTGTTGAATCCTGATTATTATGGATTGTGATTATTTCTCATTGAATTCATCTTTTTTATTTTTAGCCCCCACCAAAATATAGTGGGTAAATGTAAAGTACCGTTAAAACTTCAAATTTGTGCGTATCCCTTTTTTCACAATAGAATCGTGGGTTTTTTGTTATGAGCTTCGGGGGTCTCCAACCTGATTTTTATTGCTCAAAAGTTTTGCAATTTTAACATTCAAGTGAAATCAATATAAATTCAGAATCTAAAAATCTCCACGATTACAAATATCTAAAATTTAGTATAAAAACATTTTTTAAGGAAACTGTAACGTATCTCGAAAACCGTAATTGATAAATAAAAAAGAATATCATTTTTGAATTTAAGTTCTAAAGGATATTCAATGGGTTAGTGGAAAAAAAGGACACCTCGAATTTTGGTTAAAAAAGAGGACACCTCGCTTTTTAGTTGAAGAAAAGGACACCTCGAAAATATTAATTTTAAATGCATTTTTGTTTGACGATAATATGTGTAATTTAATTGATTTATGAGATTCTGTGCTCAAAAAACTATGAAGATAATATGTTCTTGAATCTTCTATTACAAAAACTCAAAAAACAATTACATTACACATAGTATCGCCAAACGAGAATTGATATAAAATTAATATTTTCGAGGTGTCCTTTTCTTCCACTAACCCAGCGTATTGTATAAATAATAAGAACATAACGTTAGAATTCTAAGTCGATGAAAAACAAGTATAATGTTTAAATAAATATAAACGTAAACAAATAAAAAGATTTTCCTTCAATTTTATGACTGTCAGTTGACCTTTTTCCAGGTAAAAGAGGGTGTCGACTTTGTATAAAAAACCTGACTACTTTTGAATTTTTATGCTTAAACATATGACTTAAGTCTGATGTTCTGTGGCTGCAATCATAACAAAAGCAGTTTAAAATCATCAGAGATTCTGACTAAATTTCTGTCGCTTTGTGACTTTATTTTTAGTAGGGTAATTAAAATTTTCAAAAAAAAAAGAAATTTAACGGACCTTAATTAACGAAAGAGAAATGTAACGGAAGTTAACAAGTCCGTTAACTGTTTTTAAAATTAACTTAAAAGTTAAATCGTTAACGAAAAAATTAACGGAGTTAATTAACGATTAACGGATTAACGCTTTACTGCCCACCTTTGCAGTGAACCAAACTGTCGAAACGTCGCAACTTAAAACAAGTTGTTCATTTCATGACCATTTAGCTTCCTCAATATATAAAAATTGCGGTTTTGCAAACTTGTGAAAAACTATGTACAAAAGGGTTCGTCCAGAAGATTTGTTAAAAATAAAATTATATAAATCATTTATAAGTTGTTATATAAATATTTGGTGAAATTTACACTTTCATTTGCCAATTGCTTCTTTTTTATGATAGAATAATCATTTCAAAATATTAATATTAATATTAAATAAATTATGAAAAAAATACAAAATTTGAATTTTTTGTGAAAAAGAAAAATATTTATTAATTTTATAAATTTTGATAAAATATATACTTTGTATACATCAATCGATTCGTTTTCTTGTCAGGAATGTAATTTTGAGAATAATTAATGGAAATATTAACAAATAAAAAAATTATTTCAAAAAATACAAAAAAAAATTTTTTCTGAAATTTAAAAAAATTGTATAAAAAATAATTTTGTAGATATTTTCGAAAATCCTTGTGTCAGATTTTAGGTATTAATGACTGGAATAAACCTGCAAAATTTCAGGACAACCCATCAAAATTTGTCTGAGATAATTTGTACACAATTTTTGTGACATACACACACACACACACACACACACACACACACACACACATACACACACATCTGGACATTTGCTCAGAATTGAATTTACATATGTTCTAGATGAAAATGAGTCCATATAACCTTCTTTTGAAAAATTGAAAATCGTCACCAATGCAAAGCTTTCTCATGAGGAAGCAAAATGACATAAATGTTATTTATACTTTACCTTCCTATTGATCGAATTTACAACTTTTTGATATCTCTCAAAATACTGGCCAAATGACTTCTGTAAGGTCTTACCCAAGTAGAAATGTAATACTGGCATAGTACTGATCTTGTACTGACTGCCAGTATTGCAGTACTGACTCCAGTACTAAGTCAGTACTGGGAAAACCCTGGCTGGTAACGCTGTCCAGTACTGATTTTTACCGGCGGTCAGTATAAGCTCCTTATTTAATTATTAAAGCATGGGGAGTAATTTATTGAATACTAATAATTATTATTAGTATTAATTATTATTAATTAATTATTAGAATTCCTTTTATTAAAATAAGTTTAAAAAAAATATTTTTCTTATTTTTTCATTATTTATTTAAATTAATGACTAAATTATTATTATTACTGGTTATTAATTATTTAAACTTATACTTTATGTAACACTATTAAGAATTATACACAAAACACTTAAAACTAAGACGGAAAAATATCGCACGCACGGGGGACCGAACCCTAGACCTCGAGGACGCAAGTCGAATACACATACCGCATAGCCACGCAAGCTCGGGAGTTATCTCGCATAAACTTCCTTTTGAATTGTGGGGCCGATATATACAGTGCTTTAATAATAAATCCACTGCATATTATATTTATTTCAAGAAAAATTATTATACATATATCTTTATATATACATTTTATCAAGTCATTATGTAGTAATTAATAGATACATCATAATAATATGGTAAAAATTATTAATATAATTATTTATTTATTATTTATAATCTAATTATTTATTAAAATAATAATAAAAGAAATTTATTTAAGAAAAATTTTTGTTAAATAAATAAATAAAAATATATATACAGCTTTAAAAAATAAAATTTTTTTTATTATTAATAATACGTAATAATTCTAAAAATAATTAATTAATAATAATTTATTATTATATTATTAAAATATATCTATTAGTTAATAATAAATTAATAAAATGTTTGATATTATTGTTGATGAATAATGTTTTTACAAATCTTTGCAAATATTTTAATTGTTAATAAATCAAAGGATGTTTAATGTTTAATTACATTATAACAAATTTTGATTGTTTTTTTAACTCCTTCGCAGTACTGATTTAGTGTTAAGCCAGTTTTCTGCCAGTACTGATTTTAGAACTTTTCTAACTCCGACATAGTACTGATTCGGTTTTGGAGTCAGTATACTCCCAGTACTGATCGGGTTCCGAAAGTCAGTACCGACGGTCAGTACTGAGTCAGTACCATGTCGGTGTTTAACTCCGTCCTAACTCCGGACATTTCTACTTGGGTATTCTTTTCAAAATTTTATCCTCAATTATGCTCCTAAATAACGTCAATTATAATTGTGCTCTTAAAAATGTTTTTTATGCTTATGTTGTGCTTTGCATTTGGAAAACTTGCTCTTTCACTTGATATTAATAAAAAATATACTTAATTTTCAGAAATGAATTAATAATTAGAAACTTTTTTGCACTTTATTGTTGTAGTATCCCTAATTGTAGATCTTGTAGATAACACATTGAAATATTAAAAAAATGCACCTTGTAAAACTAATTTTGCTGGTCCAACTTTTTTAAAAGATAATTGTAATTTTTTTTGCTAATGCTTGAAGAATTGCATATTTTTTAGAAATAAAATATTTAAAGATATGCAAGTACTTCGAGTTACCGAATTATGCTGCATTTATGCTCAATAATTATAAAATTATGTTTTAAGTTATACTGAATTATATATGTTCAGTCACATTATGATGCTTTGCAACAAAAAATTATAATGCTTTTGCAAATTGCAATTATTGTTAAAAAATACATTTGAATGTGAATTTTAACACTAGACGACATTTTTGAATCTTATGCTATTTTATGCTCAAGCACAAAGTTCTCATCTCAATTTAATGATTTGACATGATTGACAATGAATTTAAAAGATTTGGATATGAATAAAAGTAGTGAAAAAATAAATTGGAATGAAGTTGTGATCAGAGTGTCAGCTTGTAGCATAAAAGCTATTGTCCCCTTACGATAAAGATTCTTTTATCTGTTCCTCTTCATCTCTTCATTCATTCTGTTTGATAACATCTCTCTCTCTCTCTCTCTCCTTCTTCCTCACACCCTTGTTTATTACATTAAGTGTGTACATTCAAACGCATCCCCACTTAGTTTTAGATGAGCGCGTACGAACGACGGCGCGTTTTGTATGAACGTATTACATCTCGTGAACCGCCACAGCTGGAGGCCAGAGGTGGAATCAGTCGTCGGTTCTCCACGTTCTCGAAGCGACGTTTCCTCTCAGTTCGCTCCCTTTAATCGGTTATTTTCAAGGCCTTTGACCCATATCTGTTCCAATCGTTCGGTTTGCTTACTTTTTACCATTCATCAGTGTCTCGGTTTACAACGGGTTGTCTTCTACTATACTCTTCGCTTCTTTTTAAACATGATAATTCCATTGGACTGCTGTAGATTTCTTTATCTACATAAACTCTCTTCTTTATTAATTCTTGCAAAATACAAATCGCAATATATTGTTTGATATTTCGGACAAAATTCGAAACAAAATCTAGGCGAATTTTTAGCTTCAATCAAATTTTTTTGTTGCTTTTTTATAGTGCGCTTTCTTCAGTTTTCTTCAGTAAGAACTTATAAAGAATCAGCTGCAACAAGTAACGGAAAATGAAACAAATGAAAAGGGGGCTTCATCATTTTATGAAGACTGTCGAGAGCAAAATGAGTGTAATGAAGAAAATATTCTTTTAGTGAAGATAACATTCTTTCTTCTTTATGTGTTATGACTTTGTGGGTGTTTTTTGAAAAATTCATTAGTTTATACTTTCGAAATGAAGTTATTTTTAGTTTTTTCATTCTTTTGTTTAGTGTTGACATTAATTCACTGTAGAATTCTTCAAAATGATCAGAATTATTCAAAGAATCATCATCATCACAGGCAGAAGTTTACAATCGAACAGTTGCTTAACACAAAATTTCCCAAATTGATATCGAATGACATCGACATCGATATCTGCAAGTCGGGTGAGTTCTGTAAACATAAAAAACAATTTGCATTACAAAAATAAGATATTATGTTTTTTGCTAATGCTCTGAATTAAAAATTAATATACAAAGAAACATTTAATGAAATTGCACTTTTCAAGTTTACACTTTCTTTGTCTCTTTTTTTCCGTCTTTGATGATAACTCTTTACAAATCATGTTCGATTATTTACGAATCGGCGAGATAAGACTATTTTGAATTTATGGAAAAGCATCTCCCTTGTATTTCAAGGTAGGGGTCAAAAACCACATCTTCCCATGGCCGGTGAAGTGTTTTTCTCTTCTCACACTGCAAAAAATTTATCTCACTTTCATCCCACTTTCGACTTTGATTTTAGTCATTGATTGGCCATCTTAAAGTTGACTTAATCTAGTTTGAAGCTTCAAAGTTTTAATCATTTCGGTTTTCAAAATGTACACGGTTTCAGACTTTGTTTTTTCTGTACAACCCAAAATTTTGCCACGGAAGAAATTTAATATTGATTTAAACAATTTTTTTTAATTAAAATTTTGTGTGCTAATAAAGTGTGTGCTTTTGACACAATTTGAAATACTATAAAAATTGATACATTGTGATAAAAATCTATAAACAAAGCTTTAATGAAGGCTTGAATCTTGAACTTTAAACCTATGAAGCGAATGAAATGTACAGTCGTGGGAATCATGATTTTCCTAGCGCGCGCAAAATTTTTTTTAAACTTTATTAAATTGTATACTATTTTTCCTCAGCGCTAATTTAATTAATATATATCAAATTTACACAATATTAAGCAGAATTCAATGAATTTGTTTATAAATATCATACGGACTATAAGATAACGAATATGTAAAACATATTTTTGTGTCTTCTTCGATTTTACTCACAAACTTCCTATCACTGTAGTAAATAATAATTTGATAATAACACGAAACCCTTGAAACTTTTTTTTTAAATATTAATTTTTTCAAATAAGTATTCAAATATTAATAAAGTTTAAAAATCTTTAAATACTCTCATATGAAAAATTAATATAATTTTCTATTCGAAAAGGCAACTTATATTCAATCCTTATATAGTGTAATTTTAATTTAGTAATTTAAAAAAATATTAGTTAAATAATCTTTAACGTCCAAGATATTTTATAAAATAAGGGAAATAAAACAAAAACATTTGAACAATGAATATCTTCATTATACTTTTTTTCAATAAAAAATGTTTTTTTATATTTTTGAAATTTTTTTTTAACATAAGGCAAATAAAACGAAAACATTCGGACAATGAATATAAATATTTATATACTCTAGTAAATAAATATTCATTGTCCGAATGTTTTCGTTTTATTTGCCTTATTTAAAAAAAATATATAAAAAAAAATTTTATTAAAAAAGAGTATAATGAAGATATTCTTAATTTAAAAGATCAAAATTTATGAATTTTAATATTTAAATAAACGATTTCTTCTAAAGTTGATGATGTAAAATTTTCTACTCCAAATGCGGAAATTGATTATTTTGAAATTTTTTCAGTACCATTAGAAAACAAAATAAAATTCATAATATTGATAAATTTATAGATCAATATAAATAAAGTTAAATTGCAAAATAAAGAATATATTCCGATGTTTTTCAATCCCATTTAATTTAGCATAATTTTATAAGTTTAATTTTTTAAATTGATTTTCAATTTTACGTGGTTCATATGAACACCTTAATAGATTTTTAGCGATAAAAAAAATAGATTCTTTTTGCCAATTTTTTTTTCTTATGAAAGAAAATTAAATGGAATAGAAATTAACTGATTTGATTTAATGAAATTTCTTTCAGTGCAATTTTTGTCGTACGCTGCAACGAGGATGTAAGGTGGCGCAGCGGGGGTATTCACGCTGTACAGTGCGGCAAAAAAGTTGCCTCCAAACAAAATTAGAAACCATAAATTTTCGCAATTTTTGGTGTGCTTTTTAAATTTAGATGCAAGAGGGTTCTTTAGAAAACTTGTTCCCTTTTGAAAAAGTAATTTCTTCATTAAATTTCAAATTAAAAAATAATATTTTATTTATACTTTAAAGTTATAAAAGGTATTTTTAATGTTTATTTATGTTTAATATTTTTTAGTTTCTATGATAATTTGTATCTAAAATAAATTTTATTAAAAAGTGTTTTTTTTTAAATAAAAACACTGGTTATTTTGTGAGGAAAAATAGAATTATTTATTTTAAAACTTATTAATTATATTTCATTAAAACAGATAAGAATTGAATTTTATGTTTTCAATTTTTATAAATATAATATATGAATATCGTCTTCAATTTTTGAAGAATTTTAAATACAAAATTTTAAAAAATTCAACTTTAATATAAAATTCTTTAAATCAATTCAATTATTTTCAAAAAATTTAATAACATTTCTCGAAAGAATTTAATTATAAGAATTTAATTATTTTCAATATATAATAATTTTAATTGAATTCCTCAAAAGAATTTAATTATTTTCACAAAATTTCCATAAAATTCTTCAAAAAAAATAAAATTATTTCAAAAAATTTTAATAAAATTCTAAATAAAAAAGTTAAATTATTTGAGATTGAAAATTATAAAAAGTTACAAAAATTACAAACAGTAATATAAAATGTTGTATTTTAAAATAGAAAATATTGTTTCTCTTTTATTTTTTTTTTCTCTAAATGATATCTTCTCAAAAATTGATTTATAATTTTTTTTGCAATAATATTATCACAAAACTTATTTTCTAAATTTAAATTAGTAAATATTTGAACAAATTAGAACGAAATTTCTAAAAATTAGTTTTTTAATTTCATATAGAACAAGACATTAAAATAAATATAATTCTGTGTTTCTTATAGAAAATAAATTGTTAGAAAACTGTATTTTGCATTAATAACAATTCGTTTTTCTACAATAATATTTATAAACGTACCTATTTTTATATTTTAGAATAATAAAATTATACTATACCAATTTATTGTTAATATAGATTGAATTTCAAAAAGTTTTAGAAAAGTTGAATTTAAAAAAATTTTAACTAAAAATTCTGAATAAGTCAGTTTTTTGAAATTAGTTATATTTTTAAAAAATAAATATATTCAATTGAAAAATATTTAAATTATTCGAAATTTCATGAAATTGTCTGGTAAGCAAGTATTGATTTTAGAAATATTTTTATTTTAGATAAACTTTTCTTGGAATAATTGAATTTTTAAGGAACATTCTAGAAAAATATTAAAAATAATTGAATTAAAGAAAAATTCGTCGCTGATGACGAAACTGAAGTAAGATTTTCAAAATTTTGAAAATTCAAAATGGCGGATCCAATATGGCGGACATTTTCCCAAAATTGCTCAAAATTACATAAAACTTGTTACTCGGGGGTTTTCGGGTTCGCTGATTAAGAATCTGAAGTCAGATTTAAAAAATTCCAAATGGTGACCCCGAAAACCCTCGAATAACAAGTTTCAAGCGAATTTGGGTAGATTTGAAAAAAATGTTCACCGTTTTTAATTTTGAGAATTTTGAAAATCTGACTTTAGATTCGTAATCAGTGACCCCGAAAACCCCTGAGTAAGAAGTTTTAAGCGAATTTGAGGAAATTTTGAAAAATTAGATTTACCGCAAATTAATTGGTTGACTTTTATAAGAATATAAATAAATTTTTCTAAGTGGGACATACATATGTATATGTTTCGAAGGCACGAAAGGGTTAAACGAGTTAGTATAAAAAAATGTGGGCACAAAGTTTGTAAATTCCATAATATTTTGGCAAGGACAATCTATACTGCTTTTAAAAATGGAAGTTAAAATGTATCAAGTTCCCAACACTGGGGTTACGTAAACCCCGCAGCTTTGAACGCCAAGCACACAACGACATAATGTGAACAATTAATCTTATACGGACCTTTTAACTTTTCTACACAGTCTCCACTCCTAATGTAATTAATAGCCTTTGCATCTGCATTATTGCCAGGAATGGAACCAATGTCAGTATCAGAACTGCAAAAGAATCACACATTGTTGATGGGAAAACTACAAATAATCTAATTTTACTTTTATTCATTTTCTTTTAAATAGTATTTTTATGTTTCGTCTCTAATTTCTAACTAAAATTCTTTTTGTTCTTAAAAATTTTTGTTTTCTTTTTAGAGTCAGAATTAGCATATAACAATTTTTGTTATAATAATTTTTATTATTAATATCTCTTTAAATTATTTAATTTAAAAACATTAATAATATTAATGATAACATTAAATATTTTTTATGAAGCTGCAAAAAAATATTTATAAATTTCTTATGAAAACACAATTTTCAATATTTTTAAAATTGTTAACACCAACATATTATTTTTTTATATTTGAAGGCAACAGAATTCTTTTTATTTTTAAATTTATCAACCGGATTTTGAGGAAAATTTTTTTTTATTTAAGACTGCTAAAAATGAAATTGTAAATATAACTTTAATTATCACATTTTTTATTTAAAGTTTTAAAAACTAATTTTCTTATTTATATCTAAGAGTAAAAAAATGGTTTAACGTTAAAAATTAATTAATTTTTTGATAATTTTACATGATACGTTTAAGGAATTTAAAACTTTTAAAAATTTCGGAATAATTTTGTTTAGATATTTATTTGAGTGCCAATTAATTATTTATTATTATAGTTGAGATGTTAAATTGACTGGTTAATTAGTGTCGTATTAACGGTCGAAGATTAAGTAACGGTCCATTTATACAGATAATTATAATTGCAATTATGTTCGCTTTTAAATTATTAGTAAACAAGATTTGAAGATATATTGAAAGTGAATATTTTCAATTTTTTTAATTCAATTTCAGCATGGAAATTAAGAAAAGTTACTTTTTTTTAAATTAGTGATTTTTTATTTTAATCTTTTTTTTAGGTAATTTTAAGTTTAATTATATGAAAAAGTATATCATTTTTATTTTTATAAGGATACTGTGAGATTAGACATGTTATTCGAACTTTTACAA